ATATTTTGCGGATGGTAGAACTCGAGCCGTTTGAAGTGGTGTTTATATAGTCAAGTATATTGTTACACATTTGATTTCCCACTTGTGAGCTCATCGCTTTCACTTTCGCTTTTATTAGTTTTGAGTCTGGTAAGAGAATATAATTCACTCAATACATGTAGATGATATTGGACGGGGAGAATCATAACTATCAAGGTAGTTGACCCCTCCTTACTCCTCACTCCTCACTCCTCATCAACACTCTCACTATATTCACTCCACAACACTTAATTGAACACCCTTGTGTTCCTTTCAGCACTTAGGTATATAAACTTCCCCTTCTCCAACCAATCTAAACATCCAGAAAAATCAGATCGCAAAACAAATTTCGATGTTCCTTCGAACTTTCACTTGTCTTTGCCATTCATTAGAAGGTCATAATTCGGAGACGTTGAACGTCGAATCTGGAGCCAAACACAAAATCAGATGGTAGTTATCTTCAGGTATATGTCTATTATCGTTGTCATCAATCAAAGATACAAGTTCTCACCGTCGTCGCTTAACACCCTTACCATCGCCACAAACCACAAACCACAAAATTTCCACTTCGTCCCTTTCTAACATCTTCCCACACTTCCGCGCCAACCGTCCTCCCATGTCTTCTTCCAATAATTTTTGATAGACTAAACTGTCGTCTTCAGCACCAAAACAAAGGTTTATATACCCACAAGTTTGATGGAAGAAGATGTACTTCCGAGCCGAGAAAGAGGAGAAAAAAGCCAAGTCAAATCATCAACTGGTGAATTGTTCAGCTATAATTGAATGTCTACCTACTTAACTATCTATATAAACACAAACTCTAATCTTCACTAACAGATTATAGAAAAGCAAAATGGAGCAGTTACAGGTTGCGAGGCCAATGGATACAAATCGGCCAAATCATAGAGGTGTTCGGAGTGGGAGCACTTTCTATCTTGGCTGTTGCCAATATAGTTTAGAGGGGGCTATAATGCAGTGAAATGGAATCAAGCCATCTCATCGACAATAGTGACGAATTAAAACGACAGCGAGATTTCGGTTCGGGTTTTAGTGTTGTCGAGGGGTAGTGGAAATTGTTGAGGATTTAGATAATCGACAACAAAAAATCTCTGGCACATTATTTGGATCCGATCAAAATCGACAAAGGTCAAGAATCAAGAATCGAAATCGTGTTGTGAAGGAGCGTCGAAACTCTTCAAGAAATTCATCATTATCACCAACGACAACAACAACAATAATAATATAACAACAAAAAATCCTTCCGCGCAACACCTAGAAATTACCAAAAAGCTCAAATCATCAAACCCCACCAGTCAAATCATCAACCTCCCCTCCCCCCCCTTCCCTCAGACTCAGATCCCATCCTCCCACCAATAAGCCTATCCAGCACTTAAAAATACCCCCTCCCCTAAAGTTCACATTCACATACACCACAGCATTCATTTATCCATCCATTCATTCATTCATTCCCTACAAATTTGATATCAACAAGAAAGAAGTCTTACAAAGTTAAGAAGAAGAATAAGCTTAGTTTGTCAGCTACTCGATTTGATGTGTAGTACATACAGTGATATCTAAGATCAATCAGAACACAATCTATTCCATATTCCATATTCCCCTTTAAGATTCCGACGTGGAATGCGCGTAGCAAGTCTATCCATATAAATACCTCATTTCAGATTCGTTGAATGATGAAAACACTTTCGATAACTGACACAATTTCATCATTTCATCATCTCATCATTGAGAAAGATTTGAATGTTTACACGAGGTTGAATGTTCAGAAAGATTTAAACATTTCACAACTTCTGAAGATTATCAGACTACATACAGCACACTTCGCACAATTAGGTATTATGATGATGATGATGCTATGTAGGTAAAATCGATCGTCAAGAACCTCAGATATCAAACCACACGATTGCAATACGCACGCAGTTACAAAATAGAACAGCAAAGAACATACAGAAGAATCGACGCAAAAGATTCATTCAGGAGCCCTTACTTCACTCCCCCCCCCAAAAGTATAAACAATGTACGAAAGAGAAGCGGACATCAATCGCCGCAAGACCATGAGAGATCTCTACCGAGAAAAAGAATCATGAAAAATTTCCGTAGGTACATGCTACATATCACGAAGCAGAACTGGAGTCGACACGAGCGGGCTAATCATATAAAGAAGAAAGTATCACACAAACATTAGTAGCACAGTACAAAATAACCCATCCACTTCTCAACTTCTCACCCAAGACTAACGATTCCACAAGCCCACGCCATAGTGAAGGAAAAGATTAGACCGCGCAGTGAAACCGATGCATATGGATATCAAAGCGAACCAAGAATTACTTCGATAGTCATCAGGACTCAGGAGATACAGTTAAACGCAAGAGGATCAGCTACCAAGAGAACTTATCTGAAAACAGCGTTATTCACTTGGTAGGAAGTTACGAGATGTTCTTTCATGCTCGCAATTGATTGATCGGACGGCGAGTTTCGGGATAGAAGGTATTACCCGGGCTCCAGAACGATCTGGAGAATTTCGGTTACCTGATGGTAATTCTCCCCTGCGGAGATGGGCTTGTGATTTATCGATTCCTCCTCGGGCGAAGGATAGCTGGAGAGATACTGTAGTAGTTCTCTTAGTACAAGGCATTGTCGGGGAATCTGCAGCCTTCGTTTCTTGGCTTCTTATAGGCACCATGTGAATTGATTTAAATTCCATCATTGAATTCTCTGTCACCGAATAATTCGCTCAGCTGCGAGACCTCGGAGATGAAAATTTCTTTCGATTACCTAGTTGAATGTTGTGATCGCTTGTACAGAGCTAGTTATTCAATCTCTGAGAACAATTCAAGATTGGAAATCAATTCGATCTTCCGGATGACTTAAACATTCAGATCCACTAGAAAATGAGAGACTTTGCATTGTTAGAATGCCTACAATTTGAACTATTAGAGAACCTGGATCATGCTGAAAACTTCAATTTGAGAAATTGAGTCCACCCCCTTGAATACTGAACTGTGACTTATGATCTAGAAATTGGTCTTATAAGTTTGAATGCATACGCAGCGTAGCACTATCTATAGATAGACTGAATTGATGAAAAAAATTTACTACTGCTACTAAAGTTTGAACGTCTTGAATTAAAATGTCAGCTAATTCTTCAGCAGGAGGTCGAACCAAAATCTTTTGTTGCATATCTGTAATCCAACCATAGTTAACAAGCAATTTTTTTCCCAGATACGCAACAAAACTTTTTTTCGGAAATGTTTCTTGATTGGTGGGTTGATATTGAGCTTTTTTTGGTATTGTCTCCTCAACTTGAGACTAGAACGAGTCTTCAAAATACCGAAAAGAAAACGGTATGGATATAAGAGGTGTAAGTATCCCTTTGTGTATGAATATGAATATGAATTCTTGTTAGTTGAGTAGTAGTGTAAAGCACATGGCAAAGCCCACGCAACAGCCTCCTTTCTTGTGATTTCACCAACTTACCGGTGCGTCACTTGAAATGGAAAGCATTAAACGAAGATATTTTTAGTCCGCTCAAGGAAGAAAGAACAGATCGAAAACAGTTGGTGTGGAGTGAGATATGTGATATATGGCATGATGATCGGGACAGAGTAACAGACAGAGTAACAAATTGAGTAGTGGAAACCAGATGTTTGCGATTTATGAAATGCGGAAATTTCCTTTCAAGAACACTAGGCAGAAAATATCAAGAGAAGATAGATAATTCTTCAGCTGTGCTAACGTGATGCTAACAAGGCCTGAAATGGTACGTCAACTCTAACTTTTCAATCGACAATTCACACCAAACTTCAGCATGTTTTCGTTTCCGTAACCTTGCTTGCACCCTAGAATCAGAGTAAGGCCCCTTCCCTAATTCATTGTCCCACGGATTGATGGGCAATGGTAGGCTAATCGGCGATTAGATAAGATCACAGTCACACTCGATATATGAAGTCATATTGTCCGGGGAGTATTGTCCGGGGAGTATTATTAGCTTAGAGAACAAGTCTATGTTCATTTCATTCTGTCCCCGTTAGAGAGAGAATAAAGTTCCAAGCATCCAAGCATCCAAGCAGATGAGCTTGAGGTCTAAGCCGACCGCCATAGCTGTATGACGGTCCAGACCGATTAACTGAAGGTCAAAACGAATGATTAAGGGCTATATTTGAATTGTTTGAGGACGTAAGCCGATTGAAATAGACTTTATCTCTAAAAAAAGGATCACGCATCATAGCCCTCTTTTAAGAACACTATTTGGAAAGTACAAACAAATGATCGCGCATTATAGCCCTATTTTAGGAGCTCAGCATTTCGAAAGTACAAAAAGAGAATCCCGCAACATAACCCTCTTTAGGAACTCGAGATTTGGAAAGTACCTTTTAAGTTCAACCAGAAACCTGGCGCGGAAGCACAACAGTCTCGGACATTTAAAGGCACCCAACATGAAACTATTTGCCATCTGATTAACATGTTCTCGATGCCCAACGTCATAATACTATACATCAGATCAATTTGAAACCAAAAGTACGGGTAAGAAAGGAGGTGGCCAGAAAGAAAAAGCGCGGTTCGAAATGATGGAAATGAACTGGAAACAAAAGACACGAGGAAGGAAGATTGTCAGGACACTTTGCCGTAACGATGTTCGTAAATAATTTTGTTTGTAGAACATGAATAAATGAAGAAAACTCTCAATGGTATGGTAGAAGGATATGGTGACATTAAGCGCTGTCAATTCCTCATGCTCGTACGGACATGCTCGTAAGGCACAGACAACGTGATAACAGAACCATTAAGGTTGATGCACGTTTCACAATTTGAATGGACAAAGTTTAAAATGGTTCCCAGGAGAGAACTCAAAAATCCATAGCTCCAGCTTCGATGTGCAAATAAACTTTGAGATTTTGGTTCTCCTCGTACGCTCCAGTGGTGATCTGTGATGCACTTCCCGTGTTTCTGGGGTACATCATGCTTCACCCTAGAAGGATATCCCGAGGACGATAGTCTGCAGCCTTGACGAATACCGAGTCTTGGGACATTTGGTGATTGGTGGTACGATGCACGATGTTTATCATTTGATGAAAGTTGGTAGGCTCGTCAGCAACACTGTAAGCTTACGATGCGCGATCAATTGTTTTCGTGAAGAGTATGGCTGAGCATACGGTGTCATGGTGGTTGGACAACATGATAGTTTCAGCCAACAGGATCGTCTTACTCATTCCGTATATGTTGTCCAGTCTATGTGTGTTGATACTGTAGGCGGTCTCTTGGTCGATCGAATACATGTAGTAGTAGTCGTCGATGAGCATATATCTCGTTGATGAGTGTGTTTCGTACATTTTAGTGGACACAGGTAGGTACCAAACAAAGTAGGAATAAGCTAGCCTGATTTGGTTATTTTCGAGAGGAGGTAAGGCTGCAGCTGTGGAATTCCCTTCCCGTCACTTTGGAAAATCAGCTCCACTTACACATACTTTGTAGGACACCTTCCTAGGTAAGGTGTATGTCATTTGTTTCGGACTTTTTTGATTCGCTTACCTAGTATATATGCGATCTAATCTTACAACAAACGTGTGATAAAACTTATAACAAACGCATAATAAATCTGTAAATCTTATAATTCCAATTCGGGTATAGAAAAAAGGTATTATCAATATGCAGAATTAAATGAACTCATTGGGATTCCGACAGTCCGACAGTCCGACTTGCTTCCATTCCAATATCGGTTATCGATCCCAAAGATTCATGAACCGATCTACCCAGATACCTACCTTACCTAGGTAGTAGCCACATCTCGCACGGCCAGCAATAACGATAATATTTTCAATTTCAATCTCAATGTCAATGTCAATTTCAAAGCTACCTCGTATTATGTGCTCTTCCTTTGTTGTTACAGTACATACCAATATCAATATGCATTTGTAAGCTTTGCACGCAAAGACCAACAAAGCTATGGTCAATGGTTTGTCCTGCACGCGGTACCACTGATAGATTCTGCAAGAATTCTGAATCTGGTCGTTAGATGTGAGGGGTAAAGGTACGTTTTGACGCTGCCGAGAGAGGTTGAGGAAGCCATAGAAAGGGATTTACCCAACTTTGACATGGACGTCTTGGATCTTGCTGCAGAGTCTTGCAAAAAGGGGTTCTGTCACTGCTAGTGGTAGGAATCTCCTCTCCTCTCCTCCAATCATTCTCGCACGGTTCCTGGGCCATATCCATGTGGCCCATCACATTCTATTCCCCTGCAGCGGTACAAATGAACCTTCGAGGACCAAACACCACCTTGCTATAATCTGTATACTGTACTCGGACCAGAAAACGAGACCAAGGAAGGATAAACCCCACTTCACCGGAAATGGCCCACCGTCCACTCCGGCATCAACCCTTAAGGTAGGGGAGAAAGAGTCCGAAAGAGAGATGTTAGATCCTTTTCAATCAAAGATGATCGCCGACAATAGTCGATAGTGAAACCAACGATGGAAAGAGAATCGGAGTATTCGGCCTGTAATAAAGCCCATGCAAAATGTGTTGGTAAGCCAGTGAAGAATATGCCCAGGTGGTGAGTGGTGAGTGGTGAGTGGTGAGTGGTGAGTGGTGAGTGGTGACTGGTGAGTACCTGGTCTCGCTGGTGTACCAAAGAATCAAAAGTTCAGAACAAGGCATTGAGGAGAGGGGAAAGCCTCTTCATTCCGGTTTCATTAAGGTTCAATTTATGCAAGAAAGTTCAAATATTATATATAGGTAATACTGGGTAATAAGCCTCCACTACCGGTTTCAAGACAAACCTTAGCTGAGGATTCGGTATTTCGTACTCTGGACGTGGAAATACATCATTGACGTGGAAATTTATTATCGATAATATCCATCAGCAGCTCCCCAACCTTCAAGCCTCAGTAAGCCTCAATTCTGGAAAGAGTACATCTACGCCACCATGCATGGCTGGCACACCCTCTTACTACTACCGTATGTAGGTACAAGGACTGCCTTCATATTTCCTCATGTTTTCGACCTGTTAACCACACATCCATCCTAGGTAATAGTCAATAAATCTCACAAATCTCACAAATCGCACAAATCACGTCAAATCATATCAAAGCCCTTCCATGCTTTTTTCTTTCAGCTGAACATTTTTTACATCATTTAATAGTAACATCAAACTATTCCGAAATGGTTTAAAGAAGGAAGATACACAATCTACCTGAAATACCAGATGACCCATAAACCCAGCTCGGCGCATCCACTCGTCAACTAGTAATTCATAGCTCAAAACTACACACTTGAAGCTCCATACTTAACATACTCTACCCTTTGCCCGGGTGGTCTATGGGTGTCCTTTTTAATGTATCTATTCGTTTTTTATGTCGAATACTCTCCGCCATCCATCTCATTAGAATTAGATTCCTAGTTTACTTGAAGCAATTTCCGAATTGGACGTTTCATCACCTGGTCTTTCCCATTTACTTTTTTTTTAACTTCTTATCCTATACACAATTCCTCTTTCAACAAACTTCTAGTATTATACAACATTCCAATCTTTCCCAAATCAATTCTTTCCATCAACAACAAAATCTGGATTCTCATCTGCGCAACCCTCTACATCATTAACCACGGACATACCTCTTGACCTCGCCAATTCCTGTCACCGCGGCTCCACAGTTTCAAAAGCTCGCCTCTAAATCCATTGAAGAAGAAAGTTTGCTTCTCAAAACGCCATAATAAACATCAACGGACTCGGATTGGACGAACGCCTGGATCTCAGGTCCAGATAGACACTTCGGACGTATTGTAGTATCAGAGAAACTTTCAAATCCGGCTTCTTTACGATCCCCCCGCGAATTCAAAGATTCCAAACGATGCACCGCTCAATAAGCCGTTGAAGTTCCTACAAAACTCTAATTTATCTAACTCGCTTTGTTTCTTCTCCAACCCTTCCGAAATCATGGATACTACTCTAATTACTTTCATGTTGTAAGTGTAGTCGTTTTTGTTTCCTCCTTGAACTCAAATTCAGTATCGTATCACGTGTTTTTGCATGCGCATTGATCATCCCTTGATACATCATTGGAGTGAGGGAAAGTTTGTTTCTTGAAAGCCGTTCATTGCCCTGGGTCCATGCATTACTTGGAATATATTTGGTAAAGTTTACCGGCCAGGTCTGGTCTTCATGCCCAACGGAACCCTCGGGGAAGATAGTCTGTTTCGACTTAAGGCATGGTGGACATCTTTCTCTCGCAAGCATTGAAGAACTTTCTATTATAGAACCATCTATCACTAGATGACTCTCGTCACAAGCTTGGTATGACGTCTGTTGTACAGATGCTTGGGCATTGCTAGTGACATAAATTGTCTTCGAAACTTCGGCATGCGAGATGCAGCTCTAGTCGAAGTTTGTTGCTCTTGCTTTGCCAAGATATGAGATGGACTTTTGCAAAGTCTATCTATCGGAAATCTCTTTTAGGCCGTTTCCGAATATGAACATAAGAGACCATCCTGCCCTCAAGAACTGAACATATCATTTTGTCATAATAACTAAGTTATAATAACTAATTTGACGCTCTATCTAGTCAAGCAACACCTAGAACACAATCAGTCCATCTCATCGGATCTTGGGATAATTTCACCAAACGATATCCAATGGAGCGAGATTCAAGACGCTCTCGTGAGCAATGGCGAGGTTGTCACACATTTGATGACATCACCTGTGATGGCGATGGAAATGGTTCCTTGAAAAGGACTGGTGGTTTGAAAATGGCATCAACATACTATTACTATGTATGTTAATAACCCAAACACCGAAAGAAAAGTACTTACAATTTTAGTATGAGCTTGATGATGGCATCGAAGTTCATGACATGGCTATACCCTCCACTACTACTTGTCCTTATATGCCAGGCCAACCAGTTAATATCCTCTGGGTACCAGTCGAAGTCTCTCCACCACGACTTCGAAGCGGTTCCATGGATTCCATAAATATTACAGAAGCCAAAACAATGAACCCTGCCGATAAATTCATGACACCTCGTGCTCCTCCATCGAAGCCAAATGTCGCACGATCTGCTTCATTATCGTCTTCAGGCGCGGAGGTCACGGAAAAGCCATGTCCTTGGGCAAAAGATAAAAAGCTTGGTTGGGCAACGAAACTTTTTTCGGGCCGCCGATCGCAACCTTCATCGCCTATTCCACCACTTGCTTCAAGACGATCATCTGAGCCCGATATCAGTCAAGCTACTACCCGAAGTAGTTCTTCATCAAACGCAAACACTATTCATCAAACTAGCCCGACTCGATTCGAACCAATTTCTAGAAAACCGTCTTTTACCAGAGCGCACGATTCTGTGCACAACAGTCTTATGTCTCTTGGTATACCCGAGGAAATTTCCGAAGACTGCGAAGATGATGACAACTTTGCCACACAGTTTAAAGAACTTGTCTTTGAAGACAACGACAGTATCACCGGATTATCTCCAGCGCCATTCCGTCGGCAACCGTCACCAACTTCTAATTCTTACAAGCCACTGCCACGACTTCCAGATGATGCGTTTACATCTCCTATTTCATTACCTCTTCCCCCAAACCTTACTCTGAATCTACCAATGTCCCACTTCTCTGTCTCTACCGCATCAACGGCTCTTACTTCACCAACGGATTCCCATTTCGGCTTCAGCGATACATCATCAATGTTCGATTCATATGATGAAAGCGATTTGAACGAAGAAACGGGCGATACTTTTACATATAACCCAATGATCTCAGAGGTGGAAAAAAGAAAATTTATAGGGTATAGCTTACCAGATGAAGATATTGCGTCGGAACAGACTATCCGCAAGGCTTCAAATCCAATATCGAAAACAAATAGTAATGATTCTTATCCTCGCGATTCGGGGTTCGCAAACGGAATTCAAGAAAGCAGCGCGAAAATAGGAGGGAGTGCGTTAGCGGATTTCTTGGAGGATATGGGCTATTTGGGCGAAACAATCCGGGATAAATGAAGGGTGCGAGAAAGAGATGGAAGATGAAATATGGGAGATAATGTGTATGAGTATTAGGTTGTATGTATATATATGATGATGGGGACGACCGGATGATATCTTGGCATTTTGGGCGGTGCTACATTTTGCAGTTTAGCGGGGAGTTTGGGGAAATGGCCTGGGCATATGCATAAGATATGGACATGTTTAAAGGAAGGGCATGTAGAAGGATGAAAGGAACGGCAAATATTGCAAAGCTGGTCTTATATGCATGTATCAAAAGATGGATGGAAATGGACTTGAGAAATGATTGAGGGGGATAATAGATGAAGCTAGATTAGTAGGGTAGCTATACTCGAGTATATATCAACCTTTCATGAGATACTTATAAACTCACACAACTTATATGAATAAATGACTGAAGATAACATGACAGATTGCATTGCTGATAAGTGGCAACATAACAGAGACAAACGGAGATTTCAATATCACGTGAACCGATCTCGTACCCCCATGGATCTTAGCTTCACCTCGGTCTTTTTACTGGCCGAATTTTGTCACCCGTTATATGCGCGACCAATCATCGACACGACAAGGTTGAAAGCCTTGCATTTGTATTTACATCAAATATCCGTATAAAGTCTGATATGCGGAGATGCGGGGAAATAACGCTTGTTGGGTTGTACGGGTTAGCACACGTGGATGGTACGAGCTGGTGAAGGTTGGATGTTTCTTCTTATTGGGTATTTATGTTGATATGGTCATGTTTTTCGGTCGAGCTAAAACGAGGTACCTAGGAGACGGAAGATAGTTATTGACACAAAAAAAAAACATTGAAATGCTATGGATTCTCAATTGAGAGAAGATGGCCAGGCTACAGGTGATTCTCAAGGAAACGGCAATGGCATCGGATCCTTGGAGGTCGAATTCAGTGTGTGATTCATGAAGCGCTCTGTATCTACATATAATGTACGTACGCGAATGTGTAGAATTGGACTAATGGTACAATAGGTGGCAGTGGAGATACGCAGCAAGGAGAATTTGCGAGGATCTCAAGGTTCAGATGCACGAGCTGCGAACAAACTTTTGGGAGAGTGGAACATTTGACGAGACATGAGAAGAGCCATACAAAGGAGGGATGGCTGAGATGTGAAGCTAGGGGGTGTAGGAAGAGTTTTTATCGGATGTGAGTGTGGGGAATTCTGTCCACAGATCGTGCATCAATGGATGGCCAAATATAGTTGCTGATGATTGAAGTGATGCTTTACGTCGACATGAATTGGTTCACAAGAAAGCAAAACGAAGTTTGCTGGGAAGAGGAGCTAGAGCTTGTTCGGCTTGTGCAATAGCGAGAAGAAGATGCAGTGGTGGAAATCCATGCGAAGCATGCGCGAAAAGATCAATTGAGTGTACTTTTCCCTCGTCGTCTGGTGCTATGGCCAACGAAAAACGTCGAGAGTCCAATGAGCTATACGAGAAAGTTTCAAATGAAAGGGTTTGGGTTGAAAATGGTCGAACTGGGGAAGGAATCACGAGTCCGCAATCTCCAATTTCGTGGTCACATGTTGATTCACCGCTCAATACGCAAATGAACCCCAGATCTTCGATTAGTAATTACCGTTCAGAGTTTGGGATGGAGAATCTGGATGTTACTGGTCAACAGATGAATATCCAAATTATGAATTCTGGTGTTCATCAACCATTCAGCCAATTTTCTCCGTCAAACCATCGAATGCCCGAAGATGCTCGCGTAAACTCGACCACATCTCCTAACGATCAATCAACTTCACCTTCAATGTTACCCCTTCATTCAATTATGGATCTTGATGGAGCTGCCAACTCGTTATTGATTGGGACGAGTCAGGCTTCACAGCAACTACATATCCAGGATACAGGTCTTTCTGAAGGTTTGCCAGAAAGTGCTGGTTCTTGGGCCCAATATAATGTGTCCTCGATCAACTGGTTGCCTTACGATTGGGCTCCTGACTATCAACTAGATGATGACGCAGTGAGAATGATTGATGTCAGGACAGATCTGAATGGCTCATCGCCTATTACCGTCCCAGGAGAATCTATCCGAAGGCCTGCGTATTCAACCAGTACAGCCATCTTTACACCGTCCCCACAAGCTCAAGCGCAACTGCATATCAATACCTCTCCTAATCCAACAATATCTAGTGAAGGTGCTCCAAAAAGTCCTAATTCTCTGACTACGCAAAGCACTGGTAGATACTATGTTGATGGGCATGGTTCGAGATTACCCCGTATTCGAAAAGCTCCATCCGAGACTGCTAACTCATGTCCATCAATATCACATCCCTCAATTGAAGATTTGAACGGGAGATTTGCTTTTCCAGTTGATGATACCAATGTCCATTCCTCAGATTATAGACAGTTACCACACGAAATATACAGCATTATTCAGGATGTATTCGAAAAAACATGCATCGAGGACTCGCCATATTTTACACCATTCCAATATACACGATTCCCATCTTTGTACACACTGAGCCGCTTTATAGGTCACTATATTGACTCTTTCCATCAAACATTACCGTTTATTCACCTGCCATCTTTCAATATTTCAGCTTCTCACTGGCTTTTTCTTCTAGCCATGGCGGCTGTCGGGAGTCATTACCATGGTAATGGAAGCCACGCAAAACCCATGCATGAATTTCTTCGACGTGCAACCATGTCAGTCAGCAATGATGGGGATCCGCGGTGTACGAAAATAATGATGATACAAATTAAACTTCTAAACTGTGTAGGTATGATGTATTGCGGTAGCGATGAGTTATCACACGCAGCGAAATCATATCATAGAGATCTTAACGATTTTTGTTGTAATGAGTGGAAAACTTCAAATCAAATACCGAGAATTGCAGTGTCGCAGACAAGTACAAATGATACGGAGCAAGCAAATAGAGAATGGAAAAAATGGTATGATGCGGAAAGTATACGAAGGACAGGTTATTGTATTTGGGTACGTGTTTCTATTTCCATATTCATGTGATAAGTTCTTACGCTCCCTAGCTCCTAGATAGCATGTGGTACTTCCACTTTCAAATTCGCCCTGGCTTATCACTAGACGATAGTTCGGTATCTTTACCGTGCCAGGAAGTTTTATGGGAAGCAGAGTCGGCAATTGCATGGCAACAACTTCTTAGTTGTTCTTCATGTACGTATCTAGCGACCCCCATCACCCAATCCCACCATTCTCACACTTCACCCCACAGCAAGCTCCACCCTACACAACACCCTCCAGCGAATGTACACCGAAAAACGACTGCTATCCTCCACAGGTGAATTCTCTCGTATCCTTCTGATCCATGGTCTTTTCCGACGTACCTGGGAAGTCTCAAACTACCTATCACAACTCCTTACCCAATGGACTCCTACAGCTTCGAAACTATCCTTCCCGCACACCACCTCGAACCATCCCATCTGGTTACCGGGTATCCAAACATATACAAATTGGCGCAATTCCGCCTGCGATTGTTTGGATATCTTACACTGGCATGCAAATAGTGTCATTGGAGCTGCCAGCGGCATGGAACATCCCACCGTTCTGCATTTACATCTAGCGAGAGTAGTGCTTCTCACGCCCTTTCTTCATATTCTGAAGCTCGCAGAATACCTCGCTACCTCACACACAGCTCGGATCCCGCACCTGGGAGACACAGATCAGGAGAATGAAAAAGAGATACTCCAAGCTCGCGATTATGTAAAGAGATGGGCTACGGAAGACCAGCACAAAGCACGCTTGGCAATCATTCACGCAGGTGCGCTTTTCTGGCACGTGAGAAGATTTAGTATCGATGCGTTTTACGAGGCTGAGGCCGTTTATCTCGCGACGTTGGCGCTGTGGGCTTATGGCCTATTTGCGGAATGTAAAGGGGGGGTGTATCGGAGTCAAGGGGACGGGGAGAAATATAGTAATGCGAGAGATACATGCGACAACGGAGACGGGAGAAAATCAAAGGAGAGAGAAAGAGAGGAAGAGGAGGAAGAAGAAGAAGAGCAATTCTACAATCCCTATCCCAGCACGATGCAACTTGATCGGCCGGCAGATGATGAGCTGGTGCAGCTTTTCGTGAAGAGGGACAGGGGATGAGAGCCCTGGTTATGGGGGTAGGAAATTTGTGTGCGGGGGATGGGAAGGGCGCGAGGAGGATGTTGGGGGAGGGGAGGAAAGTTTTGGAGGGGCTGGGGATGGAGAGGTGGGGGGTTGCGGGGAGGTTGGGAGAGAGATTGCAGAGGATAAAGGGGGGGAGGGGGGGTGCGATGGGAGGCATGGGTGAGGGAGAGAGCTGATTATAATTATGACTCATTTGATTTTGGCATATTGAATATAATGAGAATCATTCAACACTGCTAACTTTTTGGAAAATATGCTGTATCTAAAGATTCGTAATTTGGTATGCAGGCTGTGAAAATCTGCAAATGGGAGATATATAAACCTTCTTTTCCGAAGAGTAACACCAAACCCCCTTTACAGTGAGGAAAATCCCCAAGTGAAGATATGTAGAATCCATTATCTACATAATTGGAGCATCTCAACATCATCAAAACCACACACACAAACAGCCATAAGATTAGATATAAGACACAAGAGATAAGTACACAAGTATATCTATCACAACCAATCACCCCCCACTCCCACCCACAAACCCCTCCTCCACCGGTCTATTTTTCCAAAGCTTCCCCATGCCGAACCGTCGTTTCCGCGGCTCGGGCCGATACGGCGCTAATGGAAATGCTACCGCTGTGGGATAGTATCGAGAATTTTGATCATGCGATGTAGTACCAGCACCAGTACCAGGACCAGGTAGCAATCTCGCCATTCTGGAGTCTGGGATTTCGCCGCTAGATGGGTGGGAGTTGAGTGATGTTGTTTTCAAGGGGATGTAGATGTGAATTTTTTTTTCTTTCTCTAAGAAGAAGAAAAAACAAAAGGAAAAAAGAGGAGAAGATGGAACTAAACTTACAGTTTCGTGCTATCCGACGCGAACGAGAAGCCCGATTTTCGATTTTCCGCTGCGGTTTTGGGGGGTTCTTCTTGTTTCTCTTCTAGCGTGATGGATTGCGAGGTCGCTGGTTTCTCTTTGTGTGTTGATTTCGTGAGCGTTGATTTCCGAGTTTGGGACTTGGATTTCGGGATATCTTTTTTGGTGGGTTTGGGTCGAATCCAGCCATTTTTTGTGGCTGGTCCCAGAGCGGTGGGTTTGGTGGGGATGGATGGAGGGGGACTATGATCATGATGTCGTTTTTGACGATGTTTTTTACTTTGGGTTATGGTATCACGGGATGCGAGTGATGAGGAAGATTTTGATAATCGCTTGGAGAGGCTATCGAGGGCATTGATTGTTTCCGCGCGTGATTTGTTGGAGAGTTTTATGAAGAGTTCTTGATCGGCGGGCTTGACTTTGCCCCGAGAAAACAATACTACCGCGGAGGTGAAAGCAGTGTTTAGTCGTGATAATATGGTGGATAGTGAAGAGAGCGCTCTCGCTGGCTTGGAATGAGAATGTGGAGCTTGCAAATATGAGGGTTGTGATTCATACCATCACCTTCGGAGAATTTAGGACCAGATTTGATAGATTCCCTTGTGTATGCCTCTCGGATATCTGACCTGGATTGTTTGAATGACCTGATGAGAAGAGTTTCTTCGCAATTATCATGAGCGATCTTTCCACTGCTATTTTTCTGTCTTTTGCGACGAGCTCTGAGAAGTCTTATACCACTGGTAAAAGTACCAAGTAAAGTAGTTACCAATTCGTCTAGTTCACCCATCGTAAAGTAAGACACAACTTGTGTTGAATGGGTAAAATCTGGATATACAAAATTGACATTCAAAAATCAGAGACACATTAGTAAGAGCAAGAGAGAATTATCAATTATACTAGGTATCTCAGGTGTTGATTGATTGGGGGACAGTCATGTTCTTGCCGCCCATGATTTCTACCCCACTTGTCGGCAATGACCAATAGGAGGGTTGTAATGGAAGTTTGGTAAACTTAATATATACATGACCTTGCGTATGGAGAACTGTTCGTGTATACATACATAGTTCGAGCTATCATCATTCTTGATTGCGCAAAAGTCCTTGCCAATTTAGCCACTTTGAAAGTTTGGAAGGATACTTGGTTAGGGGACATTGGGTAGGTAGTGCAAGACTCTTCAAGGTTAAAGTAAACATATTGTCCATCGAAAAGTTGAATGCCGAAACCCACTTGGATCCTTGGAGTTTGATATTGGAAAAGTACAGTACGGGGAAGGAGGCATTCTTACCACGTGTGACAACCAATGTGAAAGCATAACACACGAACGATATGGTATTGTTCGGAATCAAAGATTACAACGATGAGTAATTTGATCAAGAGAAGATCGAACACACAAATTCCCTGCGATCTGAATTAAACAAAGGTAAAAGATGAATGCCGGATCACGTGCGATTAGCAGATGAGATGAAGACCAACAACTATCTCGGATTGTACTGGACATAAGCCGTCCAAACAACACCCTGAAAACGTGGGGGGTACCTTATCAGGATAAATATGTCGCACCTATATATTGCGACAAACATGCCTGCCGATTCAAAGCAGTGTACCAAGAAACTGTCTCATCACACACTTTTGTCATGTTACACTCCAATCAAAACCCATCCAATGCTGTCCAAAATCTTGATCAGTATGGTGTGCGAGGATGGGGTGGAGTTGCTATCTCCTTGCGGGAATTATCGGTGCCACTCAAGACAACATTCGATATCGGAGAGACGGGGGACTGGCTACGAGCCGCAGACCCCACGTTTCTCATACTGCGTTGCACAATTCGTGATTCGATTTGCAATATCTTGAAGGATCTGACGATAGGTTCATGGTATAAGGGGAGCTTGGCGGGGGTTCTTTAATGTCGTATTCACATGCATATTTATATTGTAGTCCTTCAGATCGGCCAGAATGTGATTAAATTTCCGGGATTCCGGAGTGCGTCAAGCTCGACGATTTTCGGTTGCTATCGATGCGGTTGCAACACGGCAGGTTTGTCGAGCTGTCGCGTAATTTGATAAGAGGGTCTTGATGATAATATACGTGGTGTACCTGTAACATAGTCACCAAGGTCTTCTTTGTTGAATAGGTGAGAGGAGAGAACAATGTCTAGAGACTGTCAAAAGTCTTGAATTGTTTCGAGCTCAGTGAAGAAAAGAGTATTGCGGTTCGTCCCGCTTGACCGTTTTGCTTTGGTACAATATACCCGGGACCAGAGGAAATTCATCTATATGCTTGCAAAATTTAGTACAAGCGTGGGGATTTCTCCAGAATCTAGATCAATCCCACAAGTGTCCACCTTTCTGCATAACTATATCTGTCTTACGATATGACTGCATTCTTTTTTGGACTCTATTTCTTTTCTACCAGGAACTTTGATTGAAATGAGGGAGGTACGGTAGTATCCCGCATGAGTCTTTTAATTAATCCCAATAGGTGATTTCGTTTCACCCGCCGTTGGTCGTACATGTCAAATGGCTAGGGGTGCTTATCTTTAGACCCTGGGCACCCTGTACTTTTGTAGGCTTGTTCACTGATAACCCCATACCAATTAACATCAAATATGAATCAGAATGTTCCGCACATCATGAAGCACCTTTCACGAAATTCGGACTCTTTGAGTACTACAAAAAGGTTGATCAGCTCATGGAATTGAATGCACCCCAGTGAAATTTTGGAACGTGTAACGAGCAATTAAGACTGAAATTCAACGTACGAATGTTGACGGAACTGATACTAGCCACTCTGAATCAAATTATCATTGCAATAAACTTTCTCAGACCCTGATGTCGAGTTTCCTCTTGGGGTCTTCTAGTTTTTATAGCATCTGATGCTACGAGCATGTCCGAGCCCCATTGCGACAAAACTCATACAGATGATTCACATCTCCCCAAGGGTGGTTGCAGATTCATTCTGCTACATCCTGAATCAAAGCAGCTGCGATGCGCGTGCGTTGGGTTTGCATCCAACAGATCCATCCCAGGCAGTTTGTGCCAATGCGGACACCAGGCAGTATATCACAATTCAGACCCAGAATCTTCCAGTAAAGAAGAATTAGATGCGTTGAAGTTGAGGATTAGTACTCTCGAGGGGGAGCTAGATCGAGAACGGCGTATAGGGAGAGGTGGCTTGTTTGATCGGCTTATTAAAGTAGAAGAGCTCGTTGAAAAAGAAAACTTGGAACACGAAGTTGAGATTCGAAATATTCATCGTGGCATCGGCGGTCTTTGGCAGAACGTTGGCCTCTTGAACAAGCGGACACCATATTACGATGATCGGATCGAAGCATTAGTGGATGACGTACACAGAATTCATGCTAGGATGATCGAGTTGGATGATGCGTCAATGAAAGTAGAAGATAGAGTAGACGCTCTTGAAAATGATTCGGCACGAACTCTTGCACCTTCAAAGAGGATTCGACGAAGGAAACCATCGACGCCTCCTACTGCGAATTTGCAGATCGCAATTGAGAACACGACAAGTTCTGGAGAAGGTGATGCTATAGGGGATTTCAAAGTGCCTATAAATGGTTTTGTATCAGGTCAGGAATTCCCGGAAAGAGATCTGTCGGGTGATCGATGTGGAACCTTTTCATGGACTGTACACGTCTCCCTTATGCCCACATCATCCCAACCTTTCCCATTCGAAAAGGACACGGCAGCTTACAAAAGATGCCTATCTCGAGGCTTGCATCAAAAGATAGCTGTGTCCGACACAAATAGTGATTCTTTCAAGGAGGCCGTGAGTTCTGCTTTTGCGCCAATCCTGCGAGGAAGGCCTTGGCAACCACTTGTGGCCAAGATCTGTGATGTCAAAAATCTAAGAGGCCTTCCTATGCTTCGACAACTAGACGAACAGTTAGTGAGTATGCCCCGGAGCTTTTCTTTTACTTGTGTCGACGATACTAACTTCAACCGAACAGGCCTTCAGTGATTATGATGTTGACTTCTTGAAGAAATATTGCGCTGTCCTTGACGGGTTTGGTCAAATTGAAGACTTATATATTGCTATGACCGAAGATACAATAACTTGGGTCGAAATGCGCGAGCTAGAGCAATTTCTTCCAGGATTGGAGTCTGCATGGTCCCATAGTGCGTACCTGGATGGAACACGGGTACATATACCACTTCAAGCAATGAAGGATGAATCTAGTGAAGCCACAGCCTCCAAACAAAAATCGGCAGATGACATATTGCTATCATTACCAGCTGCTGAAAATTCGACATCGAGCATAATGCTAAAGAGACACGCGTCAAGGATATCTAGAACGTCAAGCTTCGATTCATCAATTGAAGGAGAAAAGCCTAGAACAAAATTGAGACAACTCTACAATGGTGCAGGAGTGGACATAGGCAGATGTGCTAAAATTGTTTGATGGAATGTCGACTTTCGTCGGAAGTCTTTGAGACTAATAACTACCACTTCCATTAAAAGTCTGATTGTTGATATGCTGTTCGCTCGAGATCATAAGTCTATGGAACAGGTTTCTCAGATTAAACATCAACTTTATACAGTGTTGTCGAGAAGTCCCATGGGGATTAAGCATGATTCTCAATGTAGGTTAAGACACTAGAATAGACAAACAGCTACACATTGGAGCATGTCTTATGTCTGCAAGACCACAGAATAGAGGATCAACAGATTGTGAGGTTTCGTGAGGATTCTTTGGTACAGAACAAAGGAGAGAAGACGATTATTTCGCAGTTTTAGTAGGCCCAGCATACTGGTAACTTGGGCAAAATATCGAAGTATAAGTATTTGTAGCAATCTCTCGAGTCCCTGAAGATCAAAAATTGAATGCGATAATCGTTCTAGCCACTCCGGTGATCAATTCAGATACATTCCAATGTATATACTTGTATCGTTTAGCAGCCCCCCTTTTTGTAATAATATAACGCGGCGCACTGTGGAAAGACATCAAGATTAGCATTGAGCTTGGTTGAACAATCACACTTGACTGAGATGCCCGATTCTCCTTTCGTCTCAGAATAGCTCTTAGAGAAGACTTCTTAAAGCGGACTTACCCGCGTGACTCCAAAACAGATGTACTCTATCCTAGTATCCTTGTTGTGCCATTCTGCAAGGCTACCATTGTCTCCGGACCCTTCTAGCTGTCAGGAATACGTGTGGATGAGATTAAAGTTGAAAAGGAGTGCCAAAACACAGAATCCGTCAAAACTAGACCATGCTTCCGGTATATGAAATGTAGGAATTGAGATGAAGTTCTTTCTAGACTAAAATTATATTTGAATATATATAATGCAAGTGATTATAAGAAGGTTCAGGGACCGAGCCAGAGCAAAGTCGGAAGATTATGGCCTTAGGCATAACAAGACAAGGCTGTCTATTCCTACGCTAATTGCACTTCCGAGCCAACTAGCATGACGTTCTTCCACCTGAGGGGCAGACAAACCTCAGCCTAATGGACGACAACATTTCATCACATCCTCATAACTAATTCTTCATACCATCAAAAGTATTTACAAAAAGTAGTCGGAAAGATTTGGAGTTCTATTCATAAGAGAACCACAGATTTTTGCTTTGGTTCTCTTCTTTCCTTAGGAGTGTTCCTCAATTCTCTGTTGTGACCTTACAACTCTTTGAAGAAGATTATCGTCGTATAACGGCACGCAGAAGTGCATGACTACAATTGCAATCGCCGACAAAATTAAGAGTAACACTCTTGGTATTCCTCTTTTTCAGAACGAAATAATCCTCACGGTACCTCGCACTGAAAATTAAAGGACATCAGGATCGCTCTTTCCTGTATTGCTATACTAATCGTGCCCCGCACCTTAATTCACTCAAACTTGTGTACATTCTCACATACAATGGATATCAATTCTCCAAAGCGTCGCAAAATTAGCCAAAGAAGTCCCGATCAGGCGCAGACGGCAAAAGGAAAAGGAAAAGAAGTCATGACGATGACAACAAGTAGGTTCTAGGATTCATCCTCATAATACAATTCATTAACCTAAGTAGGTCAAAATGGCTGGCCACCCAATAGAGTTCCGGTGGAGATCTTCAATCTCATCATCATGAATCTACCTCGATCCACCATCCATAGCATGCGATTGGTAAATCATGAGTTTGAAGCAAACGTTTCCGAATACCTCTTCAAATATGTAGTGGTTCCATTTAGACCAGAGATTTATGGTATCACTTCCGAGCCGTCCACTTCTCATAGTTCAATATTATTACAAGACAAGGGAATGCGTATCTTTCAAGGTATATAGTTGTTAAGTCTATCTATTTCATCTTCAGCGTTACTAATGTTTCTCAGGGTTTGGTCGGCACATCAGACACTTTGCTATGTGTATGTCATTTCACCCATAAATATCTACAAATTGCTAATAAATTGATTAGCCTTCGAGGTCGATATTGCAAAGTTGACTAAACCTCCTACAAAGCATAATCACGACACAATCACAACTTTCTGGGGTTCTTACAAATGGCCATTCCAGGAATATAATAGATACGCACAATTGGAAGGTCTAGAGCAGAAAGCTGATGAAACTCGAACCATGACAAAGGCATTTCAATTCATTGTAGCCGCAGAAGAACTTGGCCTATCCATTGATGGGGGGTTGGGATGGCTTGCTGGACCAGACGTTAACCATAAAGTTATTCTGCGTGGCGAAAAACCCGCAGTGTTTGGATCAACAAGATTCGAACCAGAACCAGAACCTGAGGCAAAGCAGAATGTGCGACCAAATCAAATCACACCACCTTTTCGAACAGAGCTTTTAAACGATACGCGTTCATTACTCCAAAGAGTGTTTCAGGAATCAGGATTCGGTAGCGACCAAATCAACCAATCTCTCGACCATTCTCTCTCCAATGGGGGCCCCGCGAATGCACGTACACAAGTTCGACAAGTTGGAGTTCCTAATGCACCCTCCATTCCTTATGCTGATTTTGAAGAGGGTATTGCTCGTATACTCGGAAATCATTTCGGAACTGGCAATCCTGTAGTAGGAGACGACGAAGATGATGATGATGATGATGATGAAAGATTGAACACCGAGGATAGAGTTTCAACTGATGGTGAAGACAACGGTGATGGGCAAAGCGAAGGCAACGTTTCCAACAATATTCCTGGACGCCCTAGATCTAACGGTGGCCCGGGTCGTAAGCGCAAGCTAACACCAAAGTCCCATTGTCTAAAGCCAAACGAACTCACCGGCGCACAAAAAGAAATGCTACTTGAACTCGAATGGGCACAGCGAGCATTCATGCAAACTTTTACAATTGCTGTTATTGACAGTCCAGTCACATTTGCCGGTGTTAAAAAACTTACCATCGCCCGCTTGCCAAACAGACATTTACCAAATCTCGTACGTGACGATTTCTGGGATAGTCTACCAAATTTGCTTGAGCTATCTCTAGGCGTAATCCCCGACTGGCGTGAACTTGTCAAACTCCCTACCAGTTGGGTTCAAGATATCAAGTTACGTCCATCTAAGGCTGTCATTGGTGTCTTTCAGCTCCTTTCCAAACAAATATCTGGACGACAGCAGATCGAGTCTTTACATTTTGAATGGGTCGGCGGTGGAGAGTATGCACCTGGTCTCTTCTGCCGGAACCAGCATATCCTTGCTGCTCCCATAGTATCAGATTCAATGAGCATGGTTAGTAGAAAAGGAGAGAAGGAAGTTCTGTCGCTACCCTATATCAAGAATCTGTCATTGAAGAATTGCTGGTTAAGTCCACATATGTTCACGCGTTTTGTAAAAGATCTCAAACAATGCAGCCTTCAATCTTTAACACTTGATTCGGTTTCATTGACCGCCTTCATCCGCCCTGGACAACACCCAATGCCTCGAGCAAATCACCAGCAAAATGCTTTGGCACAAGCCATGGCGGTAGATATGGCGGCAAACATGGGCTTCGCGAATAATCATCATCTTGCTGCACACGCTGCCTTGTTTCCGCCCAACATGGCTGCAGTGCCACCATTTCTAGCAGCAGCACCGCCAGCAACTCAATTGCCAGCGGTCATGGCCAATTCAAACGTCCAACCAGCATGGCTCAATGAACCTCGCAATGGCTCCTGGGCTCAGGTTATTGAAACTTTGACTCCTGGTCATAGACTGGCAGATTTGCGTCATGCCAACGAGTTTGGTGCAGAGCCCCAACCCAGAACTCAAAGTAGTTTGAAACAGCTCGTTTTCAAGTCATGTGGATATGCCCGGCTTCCTCTTGAATTCAATCAATCGGCAATTCATGAAGGTGGCGGTGAGCAGCGGGGATCCGTACCTGCTGGAGTAACAAAGAGAATCAATGATTATGAGAGCATTATGATGAAGCCGGGTGACAGCCTACTTGCGTCAATCACAAATGCCATGAGCGATCTTGAGGTTGAAGTTCTCCAAAATGCGTGGAACATGACCCTTGGTTGGGGAAACCTACCTACGCAGCTAACAACTGAAGCAAATCATGATGGGATCCTACGCGCAGGCTTTGGAAGATTCAATGGATCTATTGTAGCTGCAGCTCAAACTCCAGCTTCAGCTCCTGAAGTTTAATTTGATACATCAATAGTTGTTCTCATGTTTTACAAGGGTACAAATTGCAATCACCTTTTCATTGTACTAATCCTACTGGTACCATAATTTTTCTCTTTCTTTAGGGTGTTTGTATGGGATAAAGATGTCTTAGGGCGGATTTATTATCTCATACACATATTTCTTGTATACTACCCCTTTTTTTTCTTTCTCTTTGGGCAGCGTGGCGGGGTCATTATGGCATGACATCAAAGCATAACGAATGGGCTCTTGGTATTGTCTCAAACTTGCATTTCAGGTTGCATATTAGGGTAAACAATTGGTCTCACGACTTATAATCTGGATTGGACGGGAGTTTGATATGGAAAATCATTGGGGAGTTTAGTGAAGATGTCGGATGATTCAAGATCACGAATAATCGTGTTCAACACCATCGATTAGATCAGATGCACCTTCTGTATCACAGATTTGCTGATATCTATCAATCATTGGAATGTTGACATGAAATCTTTCATGGCGCCTTTGGGAAATGATATGGGCGATAACGACGAAGATAGTCGGAAAATTCTTGTTCCTTTGTAGAAATAGTGTATAATTTACATAATTAAAATTCATCAAAATGATGTGGTGCGTTGATGTGACGTGATTGCATGCTATAACAATGATGAGTACAAGGTGTTCGATGGTCTTGATAGCTTCCGATGTTCGAGAGCATTACATGACTCGGAATGCATTCAACATTTGAAAACATTTGAATTTGAGCCGAGGCGATTCTTACATTGCAGTCGAGAAACTTCCCATCACAACTCTCAGCATGATATAGATCTTGGTTATGGTGGTTCTAGCTTTGCCGCGGAATTGTTTCCCGAGTACGATCCAACGGTAGACTTGACGTATCTAAGCGATTGTAATGGTATGAGATTGGACGGGTGGGATTAGAAGGTTGGTGATAGTAGTGGTGATGATCATGACAATAAATAGAGTGCGCGAAAGAAAGAAGGGAGGAATGTAGACTTGGATAATGGTGGATTGGTGGAGTGAGTGAGGTGGGATGAGGGTGTAAGGGTGTAAGAGGAGATGGGGAGATGGGGAGAAGGGGGATGGGGGGTGAGGTGGGGTAAGGGAAGAGATGGGAGATAGAAAAGGGGGCGTAGGAGATTGAAAGGGTGATGGTATGCTCGACGGCTGAATGAATATAGAATTAGGTGATGAGGGGCATTGGAGAGGAGAGAAGAAGGGGGGTGGGGCTGGATGGAAAAAGGCTGGGTAGATATCGGGGGTGGCTGTAGGACGTTGCAGAAAACTCGGTATGGAATGAATCTATGCTAAAGGTAACAGTTATGTGAAAGAGTGACATAGTGGACTTAGTTCCTGTTCCTTGAAAACTGAAGTACATTTCGGCAGTAGACGGTGTCGACTTGTTATGCTGTATTGAGACACACTAGGCTATATTTGATGAGGCGTAGAAGAGGGTTGAACTTGGATTTAAATGGGTGAAGCTGGTAGCGAGATATCCAGAATGCAGATCGTATTGTGCAGGTATTAAAGTATTGCTTGATATGTTCAATTCTAAGGAAGGAGCTAGACGTGTATATTGAGGATGTTCGACGGGGTTGTGCTGCAAGTAGACAGGGCCTGATCTTGGGATTGTCGAAATATGCAGAGCTGGGATGTATATACTGGCGATGCCGAAATCTCTTAGTTGCTGAAAGCCAACTGCCGCTCTGCTGATGACTGATGGGTTGCCAACCGTTTTAGAACGATCTAGGCCCGGGTCTGTCTCGTGAAAGAAAACTGAGACTTGCAATTCATAGGTAGCATCTGATACAATCTGGAGCTTGAGGGTTCTCCGACTCCCATAAGATTGTGCCTGACTTGGCAGTACTCGAGAACATATAGCAAATATATCACAAGCACCCGTGGCATGAGTCAGATAAATTCGTCAAGAGGCAATTAAATTTTCTGCAAGAATTTCATTTAATGGTTCATTTATAGTGCAGCAATATGTCACCTGTACAAGCCATCCATTTTTTGAAATACCCTTGTATGATGACCTTCATATCAATGCCCAATCGCGCAAACCCCAGCCAACCATAAAAAAGAACATCTATGCAGCAGTGATAGCTTGACGGATACGAGCACCACGTTGTCTTGAAGACAAGTGTGCGGTCTCACGTCCAACAACAGCCTCGGACTTTTGAACAACTTCCTCTCCTTCGGTCAAGATCAATTCGATGTGGCAGGGATTTGACATGTATGGGTTGATCTATTAAATGTTAGTATTGGGTGTATCGTGGGCTTTCGATATGAACTTACACGACCGTGAGCACGGTAAGTTCGGCGACGTTGCTTTGGTGCTTGGTTGACTTGGATGTGCTTAACGATCAAGTTTCCGGTATCGAGACCCTTGGTATCGGCATTGGCCTCAGCGTTCTTCAAGAGACCGAGGAGGAACTCGGCGGACTTGACTGGCCATCTGGCACGGGTAACACCGAATTGCTTTCCTATTAAAATATCCCCATCAGCCTCCCATTCTTTTCTAACCCAGATTTCTCGATTCCCTTCTGATATTAATGCTCGAACATACCTTGAGCAGCACGTCCAGTTCCTCCGGCGTATCTTCTCATTGGGACAGCCTCCTTGTGTTCTTGAACGTTCTCAAGGAACTTGACGGCGCGCTGGAGCTTCCATCCCTATGCATTATTAGTACTTGTCGAGTCGGAAGGGCTTCGAAAACTTGCGTTGATAGCTTGTGCTGTCTCACGGGTATTCTTGAAAGAAACACGGAGGTAAGAACCGCGGGATCTGGCGCTCTTGGCCGATTCTGATCGTAAAGTCAGCAATTACCCATGGGAGGTATCGGAGGCAAGCAAAGTCGATTGCGTTTTCGTACCTATCTCAGTAGCAGCGTATCGTACCTATAAGCAGACATCTTGGTTAGCAATTTATCCAAGTAAAAGTTGTGTATCCAAAATATGACGGCACAGGTAAATCTTCCGTCACCAGCGCAATCTGCCATGTACTCAGTACAAAGGGACCGAGAACTCGACTCAGCAGTGCCTGATTTCTTTGCAATAAAGTCCTCCCACCACCAGCGATATCTTTTGCAAAACTTTCCAGATCAGTTGAGCCAAAGACCTGGCTCAGCGGCTTCGAATTTCCCTGCAGTCGGCCCCTCCATCACCAAGTCCCCAATTATCCATTTTCCAACATCTAATTGTCGCAATTGATTCCAAACAATCGTACATCCTCCAGAGTAACAATAGGGAACACATTCAACGTACCATCTTGACGTTTGGTTGCTGCGGTCGTTAGTACGGAAAATTTCGGTATGATCTTGATGCTGTAAATTTTTGGGAGTTCCTTCCGTTTTGGCTCGCTTGATTGTAGTTTGCCCTAAACACATGACTTGACTAAGCCAAATACGGAAAGCGCGCTAAAATCGACTTTTGCACTTTCCTGAAGTGAAGCGAATTGTATGAACTTTTTTGACCTCTTGAACTTTCTGCCTCTCGAAACGCCTCTCGACACCATCGACAATTCCAGATACCGTCGCCCAACATGTCACTCGTAACGTGCGAAACCCAAATTCCGCCCTTTTTTTCCTATTTCAAGACCGAAATGCTGGAAATTTTGTTTTGCGACCTTTAGTGAGGTTGCGCTTCAAGATGATAGCTTCTGGTCCCCCAATTTCGACATTTTGCTGACAACTTGTTCACAGCGGGGAGAAGTCCAACTTTCAATACATTCTGCGTCTGCTCAACACCAACGTTGAGGGAAAGCAGAAGGTTATGTTTGCTTTAACTAAAATAAAGGCAAAATTCCATCATTCCCGTCGCCTTGTCCTCATTCTAATTTCATTTTAGGGTGTCGGACGTCGTTACTCCAACTTGGTCTGCAAGAAGGCTGATGTCGATCTCAACAAGCGGTATGGAGCACATTAGTCATGAGAGTAGAAGGGCAAAGGACTAATCAATTACAGCGCTGGTGAACTCACCTCCGAAGAGCTCGAGAGAATCGTTACCATCATCCAAAACCCAACCCAATACAAGATCCCATCCTGGTTCCTCAACAGACAACGCGATATCGTCGATGGTAAGGACTCCCAAGTTCTCGCCAACGGTGTCGACTCCAAGCTCCGTGACGATTTGGAACGCCTCAAGAAGATCCGTGCTCACCGTGGTCTCCGTCACTACTGGGGTCTCCGTGTCCGTGGACAACACTCCAAGACCACTGGTCGCAGAGGTAGAACCGTCGGTGTTTCCAAGAAGAAGGGAAACTAAATATTTGCGCTTCTGGGATTTACGGTTGGGTGGAGTGTGGCTTTTGCGATGGACTGGTACTTTACATCTGGCTTAACAGCTTCTACAGCATGATGCTGTTACTGGGCATGCCCCAGGGAAATCAGTTCATGAAAAGGAAACAATAAATCATCAATGGCCCCACTATAATTTTATGTGCTTTCAGAACAATGTGCCAAGATTGATTTTCAGGTATGCCTACGAATCATGAGAGCTGTTTTTACAAAGAATCTGGAGTTCAAACGCCCCAAAGCCGTGATTGAAATTGTTATCTGCGCGTATATCAACGAGTATAGTGCATTTTATGCTACCCCTTCGCCTATTATACTTTCCCTCGTAGGGAAGGCAGCAACTTATTTTTCGAAGGTCCTGTAATTCCAGATTTAGAAGGAGCAGGTGGCAAATATTGGAGGGTACATCTACATCACGTTTTGTTCTTGACGAACTTCAAGCAGGGAATGTTAAATCGGACCTTTGACCTGCATAAGATCATTCTCCTGTAGCTGAACTATATCAAAATGCTGTGATTATATCCGCACGTGTGTACGACGTAACTTTCTTTGATTCTTAAAATGATGAATGAATCAACCCACGGGATATATAACCACAAGGTAAAATGTAAACTGCTTTTGCTACCCCGAACGCCATTCTAGACCCGCTAAATGATACCAAACCCAAGTTGCAACAGAATACTTGGACTCTTAATCTTCATGAGTAACAGCCATATCCAATACCTCGACTCTTCCCTGTCCCTTCGTCTCCGTACTGATAAAGTCTCCTATTCCCTTAAATGCACCAGGTTCTACAAACCCTACTACCTCCCACTCTGAACCCATCACATCCTGAGTCTCGACCTGCTCTACATATCCCAATACTCTATCCTTGACCGTCTCCTTCTTATCGCCCTCTCCCTCATCAGCAGATTTTGGTCCAGGAGCCTTAACAACCTGCTTTAAAATCTTGGTAGGTAACGTAACTCTCAACCTCATCCTCGCTCTCGCGACTGGAATCGGCTGGTGAGCAATCAACGCCTTCATCGCTTCCAGTGCTTGACTCTTTGCGCTCTTCGTAGCCACGACACCCGTCCAAGCATGTTCCCTCGCTCTGGGTATTGGCTTTGCTTCCCCTTCTTCTCCCGTCGTCGGAGTTGCAGTTTCGCTGCCCAGATTCTTATCTTTTTCCTGTGCTTGCGACCCCTGCGAACTGAGCATCTCGAGCGCTTTCTCTATCATTCCCGTAGTGTACACCCGCTTCGATTTTGGATCCACAAGTTTACTGGCTACGATACTGATCACTTCATTGTGCACTCGCTCCAACTGTGCATGTCGTTCTTTCTCTCCAACTTGTAATTCTCCCTTGTTTAATATTTCGAGAATGATATCTTGCACTGGAGTATCTTTTCCAAAAGCCTTTGCCAAATCGGCCGTCGGTGCCGTTTGACCTCGCGAAACATTTAGGAAAACGTTAGGGATTTGAAGAACATTGTCGATATCTTTTTCGTTGCCGGAACGCCATTCGAGTACTTTGTTCTTGTAGCAGGCGATTTCGAAACGCTTTTTTGCCTTCTTGTACCGTACAAGGGATACGTTTGTGAGTTTAATCTGGTTAGAGGGTTGATTGATGGGCATCTTGACGGTTCGTAAGGTGGTGTTGATCGAAAAAAGGAATTTGGAATATCTTTTTTTCTCAATGGTCTTGGAGATTTTCTTTTTGCGCGGGTTTACATCACCCCGCGGAACGGCTGAGTCACTAATAAAGGCACGGCATATTTGATGTCAACTTCGCCGTCATTTCTACAGAGTAAGCATCTCGAGCTTATCTACACTTATCTTAGTGGGATGAGAGTGTGAGAAGGCAAGACTTCTGCCTTTCTGCCGGTAGAGACCTCAATATCAACACTTTGTACAATATCTTCATCATGAGTCACGATGAGCCATCTTGATTCTTCATTGATGGAAGCAGCGCGAAGCTTTCAAAGTCTCCTTTACCGTACAGCCATCATACCTAGTAGTATTCATATCTGAATCATGCTTTATCGGTGAATGAAAGTCTGAGACCGGAGTCATGTGTCCATCGCGGGTACCTTGACAGATTTACTATGCAGTGGCGTCAGGGGAATCTTAGACTAGCCCCAGGCTCTGTTGTGATACGCTGGGTTTCTCTTCAAACTGTTGGAAGGATAAGCTCCGACAGCTCCAAGTTGAGATGATAGCAAGCTTCTACGTTGATGTTTTCGAGATCTTTCGAGGTAAGTTGATGTAACGATTAATATATTAATATGATAACTAAGGATCGAAATCACGAAAGAGACGATTTGATCGATGTTGAATCAACAATATTAACCAAAGTAATGATCTTGTGACGATGAAGCATTCTTCCACCATACATTGTTTTGGATGCGGTAATTCCCATGGCTGGACTGATAAGCATCCATCCAACCTCCAACTCCCAAGGGTGCCTTGCTACGTAATTGAGGCACGAGCACAACACGCACAAGCACGAAGCACATCAGCAACTTGGGTAGCTCTTGGTTACCCTAACAACTTGCGCAGCAGTTACCGCCTTGAAACCCTATTCAAAGATCCCGTCTATCCCATCCATCCCATCCATCCCTTCGTCTTTCATCTTTCATCTTTCTTCTTGCCATCTCCCATCTCTTTATTCTTCATCATAACATCCATCTCTTTTGGAAATCATCATATGAAATAGAATAGAATAGAATTACAACAATACAGCTTCTATTTTTCATTGCACTTCATCATGAAGCTTCTCGCATCAACCGTCCTTATGGGCGCTGCTGCGGCATCCATACCTCAACAACAGGTTCTCCAGAACCCATTCAAATCAGCAACAAAGCCGGTCTCTGATGCTTGGTCTAAATCAATGGAATCTTTGGGTCAACTCACTGGTTCCATGAAAGGCATGACTGCCGAAGCCAAAGCTATCTGGGATGAAGTTTCAATGCTTTTCCCGGAGGCGATGGAAAAAGCTACCTTCTTCTCTCAACCAAAACCTCATACAAGAAGACCAGATTCTACCTGGGATTATATTGTCAAGGGCGCAGATATTCAAAGCGTTTGGGTTGAGAACTCGGAGGGAGAGAAGGAGCGCGAAATTGATGGAAAGCTTGAGCAATACAACATGAGAGCTAAGAAGGTTGACCCTAGCAAGCTCGGTGTTGATACAGTCAAGCAATACAGTGGTTATTTGGATGATGAGGAGAATGATAAGCATCTTTTCTATTGTGAGTATTACTTTTCTTTCGATGACTTGACGATCTAGCATATTTCTTGATCACAACGCCACCACTTCCTTCCGATATCATTTTTTTACTACGAACAAATGTGCTAATAAGATTTAGGGTTCTTTGAATCTAGAAATGACCCTAAGAACGATCCAGTCGTTCTTTGGTTGAACGGAGGGCCAGGATGTTCTTCTTTAACCGGCCTCTTCCTCGAACTTGGTCCTTCCTCAATTGACAAGAACCTCAAACTACACAACAACCCATACTCATGGAACGCCAATGCTTCCGTTATCTTCCTTGACCAACCGGTTAATGTTGGATACTCATACAGTGGTTCATCTGTTAGCAACACAGTTGCTGCAGGCAAGGATGTTTATGCTCTTCTCACCTTGTTCTTCAAACAATTCCCTGAATACGCTAAGCAAGATTTCCACATTGCTGGTGAATCTTATGCCGGTCATTACATTCCAGTTTTCACAAGTGAGATCTTATCTCACAAGAAGCGCAACATCAACCTCAAGTCCGTTCTTATCGGTAACGGTTTGACTGATGGACTTACACAATATGAGCACTACAGACCAATGGCTTGTGGAGAGGGTGGATGGCCAGCCGTTCTCGGTGCCAGCGAATGTCAAGCTATGGATAACGCTCTTCCACGTTGCCAAAGTTTGATTCAAAACTGCTACGACAGCGAGAGCGTTTGGTCTTGTGTTCCAGCAAGCATTTACTGCAACAATGCTATGATGGGACCTTACCAAAGAACTGGACAGGTATGTTTAACTAAATAATCTTTGAAATACAAGATGCTAACACGTTATAGAACGTTTATGATGTTCGTGGCAAATGTGAAGACACCAGCAACTTGTGCTACTCTGCCCTTGGCTGGATCAGCGAGTTCTTGAACAAAGCCGATGTTCAAAAGGAACTTGGTGTTGAAGTTAGCAGTTACGACAGCTGCAACTTTGATATCAACAGAAACTTCCTCTTCCAAGGTGACTGGATGCAACCTTTCCACCGTCTGGTACCAGGTATCCTCGAGCAAATTCCAGTCTTGATCTATGCTGGTGATGCTGATTTCATCTGCAACTGGCTCGGAAACCAAGCATGGACTGATGCTCTTGAATGGCCTGGCCAAAAGGATTTCAATGCCGCCAAGACCAAGGATCTCCAATTGGAGAACGGAGACAAGACTGGTACCTTCAAGAGCAGTGGTAACTTCACCTTCGCTCGTATCTTTGGTGCTGGACACATGGTCCCAATGGACCAACCTGAGGCTTCGTTGGATTTCCTCAACAAATGGTTGAATGATTATACTCTCTAGATCTATAGATGTTAGCTATCTTAGATTAGAATATGCATGGATGAGGAATGAAGGAAGCAAATTGTATTTATTGCGATGAGGATGGGCATGGCATGGATGGGAATCGGACACTTTCTTTCGATTGTACTACAGTAACGGAACAACACGGATATACATTAATCTGACATATTAAACACATGAACTTTTGAATTTTTACTCACACAGTGACTACTCTTCTATTTGACTAACTACGATTGGTGTTCGTTTACTCAATGGACGAAATTAGTTATATGCTAATAAGGACCCAAGATATACTCCTTTTCAGATCTGACATTGAGGAAGCTAGAAAGCATTTGATTGTTTTAAAAATTGAAGTAGGATAGACATTTACAGTATTTCATTGTTCTGTCTGAATTGATAGATTAGGAATATTCAATTAATTGTGAGATTGAAAGCATCGGATTGTTAAGCTTAAGTTGAAACATTTAAAACATCTAATTGTCACACTTGGATTGACACATTGAAAGCATCTGATTCCTGGTCTTTGGTTGGGACGTTGAAAGTATTCAATTGTCAAATCTGATGTGGGGGAACATTGAAACTTTTAATTTATCAAATTTAAATTTGAAGATTACAAGAGTTTATTTTTCTATTCTCTTATTACATAGCTATCCAAGTTGCGAACAGACATGTCGTATTTCTTCTTCACCCTCAATGCTAATTCCTAGCAATACTCCGTAGCTCTATCGTACTGTTTCTCAATCACAATCGCTCATTAGCATCAACTTTCAAGTAATGACAATGTTCCCACGATACTTCTAGGATACACTGTTACACTGCTTACCGATTACAATGAGGCTTGACCGTTGAAAATCGGTGGCCGGTAATCTTCCGAGGTGTATTTGTCTTATCGTGATGAAAGGTATCGATGACGACGGAGGCTACAATGTTTCAGTACCTTCCTTTTCGAGATGTCGACGACGGCTTAGCTCGTCCGATCTTCATTTGATGAGTAACGAATTATGGGGATTGTGCATTTATCGCGTCTGGGGTGGACGATAAGGTAGGGGTGAGCTCGTAAATTGAGACTTAGTTGGGTGAGCTATTGTAGCTCGAAAGGGGAATTGAGAAAGTGTATGCAGGAACTCTACGTCGTGAGTTATACAACCTTGGTTGTGCATGGAAAATGCATTGGGTGCTTGCGAAACACCCCGCTCAAGATTGATCTTCAGAGTAGATGATAAACAGGGTGGTAGCTCTAATTAATCCTTCTTCTTTTTGTCACTTCTTCTTCACCTCTCCTTCTCATCGTCAATCAGTACATGTCACATCATCGTCATGTATTCCTCACTCCGGGTACCCATCCTTCTCACGGCAGCAACATCAGTTGCTGCTCAATTCGTCAAGGCTCCTACAGATCTTATTAATGCCACTGGATACCTTGATTTGCCAGTTCGATACAAAGAAGTCCCAACTGGTGTATGTGAAACGCAGGAAGGTGTTAAGAGTTACTCGGGATATGTGGATGTCGAGGAAGATCAACATGTCTTTTGGTATGTTGTTACCTTTGGTCTCTGATTTTGACCAAACTCGCGTCATTCCTCAGCAAACTTTATGTTAACATCCCTCCAGGTGGTTCTTCGAAACCCGTAACGGTAACGCATCGGAGGCTCCATTAACAGTATGGATCAACGGCGGACCGGGCTCTTCTTCTATGATTGGTCTTTTTGAGGAAAATGGACCGTGTTATATTGATGCAGAGGGAAGTGTGATCAATAATCCTTATAGTTGGAATAATGTTAGCAACATGATTTATATTGATCAGCCTACTCAGGTATGTAACATTGGGAGGAGAGAGGCGATGGACTCGTGAACTGATCTTTACCAGGTCGGTTTCTCATATTCGATTCCAGTCAATGGATATGTTGATCCTAGCTCGGGTTACATCATCACTTTGCCAAATGCTACTTGTCCAGACTATGCACAGGGTTCGGACTGCGGAACTTATAGTTATGGAAATGAAAGTCTTACAGTCAATACTACCCAGGCTGGAGCTCCTAACTTCGTAAGTTTTGATTTAGGTCTTTCAGAGAGATGTGCTGATTTGAGTATAGTGGAAAACCTTGCAAGGGTTCATGGGTGCTTTCCCTGAATACTCTCGAAATGGATTTCACTTTGCGACTGAGAGTTATGGTGGACATTATGGTCCAATATACAATGAGTATATTGAAACTCAAAACGCCAAGAACATCTCCGGTGCTCATCAGATCTCCCTTGAATCGGTTCTGATCGGAAATGGCTGGTATGATCCATTGATCCAATATCAAGCTTACTACAACTTTACCGTCTACCCCGGTAACACTTATGACTATTCTCCCTTCAACGAGAGTGTACAAGCCCAATTCTACAATAATCTCTACGGTGCCGGAAACTGTGTCGATCAAGTCAAAGACTGTGCAGCGAGAGGTATCAATGAGATTTGTCAAGCTGCAGATGCTTTCTGTGCTGATCTCGTAGAAAGTGTCTATGATATCTACTTGGGAAGAGATGAATATGACATGAGAGAATTGACACCTGATCCTTTCCCATATGGTTACTACACATCATATCTCAACACACCAAAGGTCCAAGCTGCTATTGGTGCTTTCCAGAATTTCACTAGTTATGCAAATGCAGTAGGAAGTGCTTTTGCCGCTACTGGTGATGATGAGTAAGTGGAAGTCAAAGGCATGTACTTCACGAAGGTCACTAATTTCTTTATAGTCGAGAGTCTGGTACTATTGAGGCGGTCAGAGCATTGCTTAGCCAAGGAGTTTACGTTGCTATGATGGCCGGTGATGCCGATTACAAGTAAGTACTCCAAGTACCAACATTAATCTAGATCCCTTCTAACACAGATCTCCAGTTGCAACTGGCTAGGTGGAGAAGTAGTCGCCAACGAAGTAAACGCCACCAACTTCTCCGTCGCCGGCTACACCAATATTACCACCTCTGACTCCATCGTCCACGGTCAAGTAAAGCAATCCGGACTCTTCTCCTTCTCCCGCATCTACGAGTCCGGTCACGAAGTTCCCTTCTACCAACCTCTTGCCTCTCTCGAAATCTTCGAAAGAGTCATTGGAAGAAAGGATATCGAAAGTGGATTGATTAGCATTGATAGTAACAAAACTTACTTGACGACGGGAACGCAAAAGAGTACGTATAGAGAAGGCAACGCAACGATCCAATTCGAGGTTTTGCCATCAAATAGTACATATAACACCACTTTGAATGGGCCAAACCCAGTAAGTCTCGCGAAGAGCGAATTGAAGAGGTCACTTTTGGGGAGGGATAGTGGAAGTGGAGGTATGAAGAAGAGATTTAAGCCGCAAAGTAAGAAATCGAAGAGGACTTGGCATTGAGTTGCATGAGGAGGAACAGAGCAGAGGGCGAAAAACAACCTTGCTGCGAGTTTAAGGTATTTGGGCTTGGAATGGCTAAACTTAAAGAAGGGGTGTGGTACATGTTCAAAAGTAGATAATGATCAAATGAGCAAAATGAATGCAAATGAATTTCTAACTTTAAGTTTTGACTATTTTTCAAAGTCAATTCAGACTCCAATCCCTCAATCTTACTTCTCCGATTCAACATGAATTTTATCAATCGAAGGATGTACCAACTACAAATTGCGAAACATCTCCTATGTGGCATAAGAAGGGTCCGCACTCAAAGGTCGTTGCTAGGTTCGCTCTTGTCTTGTACGCAAACTCGAGGATGGTTTAAGATCCAAGGGTGAGGTATCCAGCTCAAGACCGGCTTTGGGGAAAAGCTGGCCGAGCGAGGCAGAAGACGGGATAGGGAAGAAGGGAGGGAGGAGGGAAGGGAGAGGGAAAGATACTATACCGTTGGTTGTTGATGTATGGGTTGCTAGAGCTTCTTGCATGCCTGCACCTTTCGCAATGATATTCCTCAAGTATGCATGCATATGGTGAAGTAGAATCACTGGCAAGAAAGAAGACAAAGGGTCCTTGAACTGCTTTTGGTATGCAGTTCGTGGTATACCTAGCTAGTAGGTACCCATCTTGAACAAGTGAGTGCTGATTTCCAAGCAATCACTTCTCAGGATGCATCTCAGAGGAAATGCGAAAGGATTGAAACGGAAAGAGTTTTTTTTTCCATCATTAAATTTCACTCGGACAAACTAAGCTCCGATATTTTCCGCCGTGTGTAAGTGTATCCGATAAAGCTTCTCCGACAAAGGTTCGGCGCTAAGATAAGCTAAGGCACGCTTAGTCCCAAGAATTCAATCAGTTGGATCCCACTTTTCTAAGGCCTTTCGAAATTTCGCATTCGGGATTCGGATGGTTGTGCTTGTTTTGGAGTGGAATAGGTACACTTGGTTGGGACTGGGTTGGATCTTTTCGGCTGTAGGCTTTAGAGAGAGTGGAGGGTTGGAACTTGGGATAGGTGGGATGGGGGGTTAGAATGGATTGGATAGGGAAGGTGTGCGCATGACATGATAGAAGAGACTGGTTGAATAAGGTTTTCGGGACCGATGGTTGGGAGAGGATACGGGGTGAGACGGACGGGCGTGTGTATAGGCATCACAGGATTAGGGAATTATGAGGATTGGATGGGCTGAATAAAAGAGTATAGCTGGTTGGTGACAGAGAGGCTTCACATAAAATAGATTCATATTCCTTAATACCAAGAACTTTTTGCAGGAGGCTGACATGTGTTTATGGCTGTGAGGTTTGCTTGGCACGTTGGTGATGTGCCTTGTATCCGTATTGGCAAGACTTGAAGCGACAGCATCATTGGCTGGAAAGGTCATAGGCATCATAATTGGAGTGAAGGATGGATTTGTGGTGTTACTTTACGAAGTCCGTACTTGGGTTTTTGCGGGGAGAATGCGAGAAGGCCAAAATACGCATTGGGTAAAATCTCTTGATAATGCCTGTTTCCATCAAGTACAAGGATGGAGGCACGACGATTGTGATTCGAGCAATGGCTGATTGAATGGAGAGAAGCCAAGACTCTACCTCAAAATTGGATGGGATGTACCTACCCTCTCTTGACGAACAAAATTAACTAGGTCGTGTTCCTGGATCTGGAAGCCATGTTCTTCTTATTCCTTTCTCCTTCTTTCTTAATAGGTGTGGAGGTTGAGTCTTCTTTCTTGATGCTATCGCCATATTGTCGGTGCCAAATCCCGGGAAAAGAAAAGGTAACTTATACTTGAGGTTAAGAACGATTTGTATGCTGAATGAATTAATGAGAGTGGATTGCTTTCTTTGTCACTCGATTGATTGTTAGCCTGCCGGATTTGTTGCTTGTTTTCCAATCTGCATTGGGCTTCTTCTTTTCTGATTTGCTGTGTTTGCGATACATACCGGATTGGACTGGAAGGGCAGGACGACCAACATTCGGATTTAATAGATGCGATAGTGCTTTGATAGAAGGGTTGAATCATTGTGCAGAATGTCTCGTCTGAGAGTGACGATTCCTTCTGCGCCAACCCGCATTGCGGCGGTGGTCGAGAAGGCTTTTCAGGCTCTGATTTCAGTTATCATTGTTTGTGTTATCTATAGATACTGCTGGATAGGTAGGTCAAATCCCAACTCTCCTCTACCCACAACCCCTTACTCCGAAACGCTCACAGCTAATGATCAACTCGCAGATATCTCCGATCCATACAAATGTGGTGCCCTACTCAATAAAGGCCAATGGCTAGATCCAGGTCCGAGATGGAGCTCGAAAAATCCTTTTCAGAATTGGCAACCTCCGGGGTGTATGATGTATGAATACAAGCGGAAAGACATACAAGAATGTTTCAAGGAACGCAGATTGGTCTTTATTGGAGATTCCACCACACGACAGATTTTCTGGGCAGTCGCAAAGAAGATGGACCAGAGAAGAGCGGAGGAACAAATTACAGAGCATTTGGATTTGGATTTGGCGGACAAACATAAGGATTTGGAGTTTAGTTCTTCGGGCGTTACGGTTCAGTTTATTTGGGATCCATATCTCAATTCTACGGGATTGGACCGAGAGTTAAAGAGCTTTAATGCAAATCCGGCGCAAGATTCGAAGACAGATGAGAGTGCTGGGTTGATATTATTGGGAGCTCCGGGGTTGTGGTATGCGAGACATGGACAGGAGAATTTCTTCAAGGATTTTAGAGACTCGATTGAACATGTTATTCCTTTTATGGATCATGATGGAGGAGAGCATGCTTTACGAGCTGCTGCATCACAATCGTTTCCTTCGAAGAGGAAATCTCCGAATTTCTTACTCTTGGCGCCGGTACAGGTACCTTGGTATCAGGCTCTATCGCCCTCTCGAGAGGAGACTATCACACCGGAAAAGATCGATCAAATGAACGATTATTTACAACAGGTTTCCGCGCATTCGGAAGCTGATATCGTTTGGAGTTTTTCGCTCATGACTTGGGCTGGCCAAGGAGAATATGAGGAGAGTGGATTGCATGTGGTTGATAATGTGGCCCATCGAAAAGCTGATGTTTTGCTTAACCTTCGTTGTAATGCAGACTCCGTTGGACGAGGCTATCCTCACGACCGAACTTGTTGTAATAACTACCGACAGCCTAATTTGATTCAGTGGCTCTTTGTTTTGGTTGGAATGATACTACTTCCTAGTGTCTTTTTACTGCGCCGTAAGCATTTCTTAAGAATTGGACGTCTGTTGCCTCAACCAGAAGTGCTTGGTGCTCTTATGACTTTTGCTTTGGCAATTTGCTATTGCTACTACGCTGATCGAACCCAATTATTTGAGAAAGAGCATAAGCAATTTCATAAGAGAGAGGTTCTTATTGCTTCTTCTGCTATACTTATCGCTGGTCTTCTTTCCGTTAGGATGAACAATCCTTCGAGTCCTTCCAAGGGTAATTATGAAGTTGGAGCTCATGCTTTCGATTATGGATTCCTTTCGAGAGATCAAACTGATGAGTGGAAAGGATGGATGCAGTTCTTGATTCTTATTTATCACTATACTCATGGATCGAAAATTCTATGGCTATTTGAAATCATGCGAAATCTTGTGGCTGGTTATCTTTTCATGACAGGATATGGACATACGATGTATTTCCTCAGGAGAGAAGATTATTCTTTCGAAAGAGTGGCCAGTGTTCTAATTCGATTGAATATGCTTACTTGCGCTCTGGCATATATGATGCGTACTGATTATATGGCTCATTACTTTGTTCCACTTGTTAGTTTCTGGTTCTTGGTAGTTTACTTTACTTTGAAAATAAGGCAAGAAAAGAATTCCAGCACCGGATTCTTGTTGGGAAAGATCTTCATTTCAGCTGGTCTTACAACAGCTTTCATTAAAATCCCTGGGGTTCTGGAAGTTTTAGCTTTCATACTGAAGTATACGTTTGCCATTTCATGGAATATGCAAGAATGGAGATACCGTGCCGGAATGGATATGTTCATTGTTTACATCGGTATGATAACAGCGATTCTCTATCTACGTCTCATGCGCATCAAAACCGCCTCCGTAAGTGGCACATCTAAAATCGACATCCTTCTTCGACCGGTGGCTCGCCATCCGACACCCTTTAAAACTATCGCCATAATAGCCTCAGTTATTCTCCTCCCTGGCTTCCGCCTCTTAACCCAAAGATCTCCAGATAAAGAAGATTATCTCTGGTGGCATCCTTACATCTCCGCGATTCCAATTCTTGCGTTCGTCACCCTAAGAAATTCTCATAGCATTCTGAGGAGTTATCATTCGACGATTTTTGCATGGTTGGGAAGGTGTTCATTGGAGACTTTTGTTTTGCAAAGTCATATTTGGATGGCAGCGGATTTAAAGGGGATTCTGAGATTGGGGGTCTGGGATAGGTGGACGGAGGCTGCGTTACTTACGGTTGTTTTTGTGTGGGTTGCTTGGAGGGTAGAGGGAGCTACGGAGAGGATTACCGGATGGATTGTTGATGGAGGTTGGACTGGAGGTGGAGCGAGTGGCGGGCAGGTTCAAGGGCAAAAATATCATACGAGTCATGAGTTAGGTGGCTTGGGAGCAACTTTGAAACCGGACTTGTTGCCGATGATTGAGGATGGAGAGGGAACGCCGAGTAAGAGTTTTAGATTTGGGAACTGGGGTGAAGATGCGAATGGGAATGTAACGGGAGTGAGATGGTGGAGGAATACAATTGTGAGAGGTATGAGCACGGATTTGAGATGGAGAGTGGGTGGAATTCTGGTCGGGTTATGGGTAGGGAATTGGGTTTATAGGTGATTTGATTTCTATAATATGGCATTGTATTGTTGGAGGGGAGTGGGGGGAACCAAATGGTATGGGCTCGGGAGTGAGTGGCCTGCATGTAGATGAAGATTTGGGGAATGAACATTATGAAGGTGCTAGTTCTGGGGTTGTGGATTAAGTCTCTCAGCGAACGCATATGAGATATCCCATGTCGAGGGCGATTGAGTGTGGGGAATGTATATAGCGATAATACCTAGTATATCTTATAGATTTTAGGGAGGGAGGGGGAATACTATTTTTTATGTGTATATTTTTGATTGTGGTTTCAACTTTAAACTTTTAAGGGGTTACAGTGATTGTTGTGATTGTGTATTAGAAGAAGGGAGTAGGCGAAGAGAGAGGAAGATTGGAAGTTGATTGGTTGGGATGGGATGGGATGGGATGAATGGGATAAAATGATTTGGCTTGAATTGATTGTGTGTATGAGAGAAGTGTATAAATGAGTTGGAAAGGAGTGGGAAAAGAGATAGATGGAAGGATGAAGGTGGGAGGTTGGGAAGTTGAGATGTGTATGTTTATGAGATGAGTGGGCGGAGCGGAGAGAGGGGAGGTGGGAGAGGAGAGGTGGAGTATAGCTGGCTTGGGTGTTTGGAATGGGTGTGTATTCGGGTATGTATTTGGGTTTTGGTGAGGTGAGGTGGTTGATATGAGTGATGTGAAATGAGAAAGTGAGGAGGGGAGGAGGGGAGGAGGGAGGGAATGATTGACCGCGGAAATGAATAATGGTTGTTTGTCTGTTCAGTAATTTCACTCCCAACCTGTTCGGCGACATCGATTTCGCGCGTTTCGTTTGGGGAAGAAGAAGGAACCGTGATGTATGATGGATGGTATCATAGTATTCCCCACATTGCCCTTTTCTCCAGAAGGTAGAATCTCTCACGTTGAAGATTTCTGAGAGGCTTTGAATTTTTGTTCTTGTCTTGTTGGAAATGTTATTTGTTTGTTTGTTTTTTTGTGGATCGCTAATGAATGGCCTGTAAAACTGTAGAAAATGGAGAAAAGATGTTGGTTGATGTTGAAGTGAGAGGACGAATTTGATATGAGGAATATAAGGAGTGATAGTGACTGCTCTTTCGATTACTCACGAGATACTTCCCTTTGTCTTTTCATCTTCATACTGTTTACTATTTACTATTTACCGCTCAGCTATCAATTCGTAAGTGCGTGCATTGGCTATAGTTGTTTTGAAGGTAGAATATTTGACGTTCGACTTCCAATCTCGAGAGCCCAAAGTTGTCCCTTATTGATATTTCGAAATCTTCATCATATCGGCTTCATCATGTAGTATATACTCAATTCTTAAAGATTCAACAAGAAGACGTTGCTATATCGGTATTCTTCACCATCCCTAATACGTTTTGTTTTCTCGTGCAAGCCTGCAGTATCTGGTTGTAATTGGTGCATCTGCTGTACCTTATTTCCCGCTCAAGCACATCTACCTAGGTGCTTTGCGTTCTCACATGGAATATGTAATATATTCCACACTCATACCATCATCAATCAGTCACCATCAACCTCCTAACTTACAAACTAAAGTTACAAATCATTCGGAAGATAGTTCCTCCCGCAAACTCCGGATGAATGGTACAGGTTAACCCACGCGGAACCGGCTCGCTAACCCACAAATTACTCCCGTCGATTGATGTACCGTCCGAGTCTATGCGGGTGGGAAAGTGGTGTATCAATTACTTACCTAGGTAAGTCAGTAAGTAGAGGTAGACTTGGGATCTTTATACGATTTATTAGATTGTTTGGTGATTGTTTGCGAGTTTCGTTTGTTTGACATCGAGGTGTCTAAATGGAAATGCTTAGTTTCACATCGCATTTTCGTAACTTGTGAGTGAAATGAGAATTCGAGATGTCCAAATGTTGCTACTACCGGCAGGTGAGATCACTAGAGGTGAAATACTTCATTTTTCGACTTTGATCGTAAAAGTTGGAAGTATCTCATTTCATGCATTAATGTCATATTTGTACATATTCCATCCGAAATATGTGACCCAGGAGTATAATTTTCAAACACCGAGACACCCTCCGCATCTTCCAAGATAGAAACACTATTCCCAATCTCTGACACCAGTGTGCTGTGTCTCAGACTTAATGGCTAAGATCAATTAATGCGAATCAGACCGCTCAACATGTTCTCTATTCTCTGCCTTTTCATCCCCACTAACGGCGACACCACTAGCATAAGTTCTTGCCTCGATTTTCTCAGCGCTCGTCTCGGTTTCGCCAGCGGCGACGGCATCTACTTCGCCGAAAATAGCATCCATACGCTCTAGTGACATGCCTTTGGTTTCGGGAAGAATAAGAATTACGGAGATCTATTTTCCCGTTAATTATATTCTTTCAAACTCTGTAGGAAAGATGATAGAGATGGGGAAAATGAGAAAGAAAGAAAGAAAGAAAGAAAGAAAGAAAGAGGATACATACCAGAGCAACAACATTCAAACTGAACAGCAACCAATAACTCTTTCCGCCAACTTCGTCGTTGAATCTTGGCCACGGTTGTGTGAGAGCTAATAAGCAAACAGTTTGTCCCAGAAGCGAAAGACCAAATCCCTTATCACGAACTTCTTGGGGGAAAATTTCTGATGCGATGGCTGGTGTTACGGGACCATTGGACCAACAGCTAGATATTCAATTAGCAAATCTTCCAAGCATGAAGATCTTTGAGATGAGGAGTAGAAGTAACTCACTAGGTTAACCCACAATAAATAACATAGCCACTTCAGCTATCGCCGCACTCCTGTTCGAATTATCCGGATACGCAGTTGTCAAACTACTGAGTATCAAAAGCGCCATACTCTGAATAGCAAATCCCGCAATCAACAAGCTTTTCCTTCCAAACCTATCCACGGTGAATGTGTTCACGAGTACAATAACCAATTGCAACGCAGCTTGTATTCCATTGATAGCAAGTGCTTGGTGTCCCTGATCCCAGCCTAACGATTTGTAGATTATAGCCGCGTACATGGTAAGAGCCGCTATCCCACCGAATTGCTGCAGAGCCATGGCGTACACGCCATAGGCGAGACGCTTACGCATACCGGCCGAGGAGAGGAGTCCTATGTATCCTGTTTTGAAGTTCTTACGGTATTCGTGCGAGGACATCAATTCGTGGAACTCGAGACGCACATGATCGTCTGTGACGGTGCCGGAACGCAGTCTAGCGAGCGTAGATAGGGAGCGTTCGGGAGTGTCGGGATATTTTTCTAATAGCCACCGAGGAGATTCGGGATACCAGAAGGAGAGAATGATGAACATGAAGCCGATGGGGACTTGGATGACGTTTGAGACTCGCCAGGCGATGTTGAAGGGAGAGGTGTGGAAAGACATCCCGTAGCCGGACCAGAAGGCGATGAAGGTTCCGAGTTGGTACCCGAATTGAGAGACGGTTCCAACGAAGGAACCGCGCAGACTGCGGGGCGCACATTCAGCCACGTAGAGATTGGTTGCTATGTAGACGCAACCGAAACCAAGACCGGTTACTAGACGGCCGAGAATGAGGACGCCGTAGGTGTTGGGGACGACTTGGATTATACTGTGAATGTTAGTGTGTTTCAGATAAAGAGGTGAGGCGAGAGTTGCTCACACTCCAATAATCATAACGGTGATAGAAATTCTCAATGCCCATAATCTACCCACCAAACTTGCCAATGGACCTCCGATACACAATTGAGCAAACCCTATTCCTTACATCAGCATATCCATCCATGTATATATCAAGTCTATTAAGTCTCTCAAAGCATACCAGTAGTCGCCCAAGGAATCGTAGCAATAACCCCCTGTTTCGTCGCATTAACCGCATAATATGTCGTAAACTGCGGATCTGCCAAAATCACAGTCATAATGCCAGCATCATACCCATTGAAACAAGTCGAGAAGACCATTCCATAGAGTAACAATGCGGCATAGCGATCATTCGCCGGGAGAAAAGTTTGAAGAAACCCCATGTTTGTTCACTTGGAGAAACGGAGATGGAGAGATGGAGATGCGAGACAGGATGTCAATGGTGCATGTTCTTGGTCTATATATGTGTGTGTGTATTGGAGTAGTATAACGTGGTAGGTCTAGCTAGCATATTTGAAGAACCCCGCATACGACATGTGTTGGTTCTCGTCCCATGGAACGAGTATTCAAAGCTGGGGAGAACGTCTAGGGTGAGCTTCCGGTGGGGAGATCGTGGGGTAAACAGGGGGTGGCTCCGGTGGGCGGGAGTGCTCAGACCCACTCCAGATGGCGACTATCGTATCCGAAATGACCTTGGTGCGAGTATGTCCTAAACAAATGGGATGGAATTATACATATAAATTATAATACTCTCTTATCGTATATAAGATATCAGACTTGTGAAATAAAAGCACGAGAGTAACAACCAAATCCACCATGGCATATCCTCAAAAGTCATATCTCCAAACCACCTTCACCACCCCAGGTTTCATTAGTCGAAGACGAGAAGTCGTGTATTCAACAACACTATTATACCAGCTGGAAGTTTTGAAAACGACAGGAAGATACGATGCATTTAAATTAAAATGGCATGCATCATACAACGATGAACCGGATGTTTGGCCAGTGCCCAACCATTTATTTTGGGATTCGGATGTTGCGAAATGGATAGAGGGAGCTTGTTATTTCTTACAGTATAAGGAAAATCAGGAGATTGACAGTGCGGTCAAAGAGTTGGTAGATATGGTTAGATCTGCCCAACAAGATGATGGATATTTGAATATTCATTTCACCGTGGTGGAGCCTGGAAAGCGATTCACGAATCTAAGGGATCTACATGAATTGTGAGAATGTCTATGAAGTATGTCAACAGCGGCTAATGAAGATTTCAAGATACAATGCTGGTCATTTGATCGAGGCAGCGCTTGCACATAATCAATATTATGGGAATGATCTCTTACTAGAACCAATTCTGAAATATGTAGATTTATTATCTTTCACATTTGGACCAAATCCAGAACAAAAGCATGGATATCCTGGACATCCCGAGATTGAACTTGCTCTTCTGCGATTGTATGAAAAGACTAGAGATCCCAAGCATCTGGAATTGGCAAGATATTTCATCGACGAGAGGGGAAATCCAAAGGGGCAAGATGGGCGGCATTATTATGATGTGGAGGCGGAAGTAAGAGGGGACCGACCAGATGAAATGCCAAAATACTTTCCTGAAAAGCGAAGTTATTGGTAAGTATTGAGTCTTTAGTCGACCAAAAGGATGTTAATCCTTGAACTAGGTATCAACAAGCGCACAAACCAGTAGTTGAGCAAGAAACCATTGAAGGCCATGCCGTCCGAGCAATGTACTTATTAACAGCTGTCTCTGATCTCGTACGAGTTGATAAATCAGAAGACACCGAAACAAAAAGAACCGCAGTGGAACGACTATGGAATAACATGGTGCAAAAGAAAATGTACTTAACGGGAGGCATTGGAGCCATAAAGCAATGGGAAGGTTTCGGAATCGATTATTTTCTACCTTCAGGTACTGACGAAGGAGGATGTTATTCCGAGACTTGTGCATCTATAGGAGTCATGATGCTCGCCGAAAGACTTTTGCAGGTAAGGCAATCAAAGTATAAGTCGGGCATAAATGCTAATGTCACTAGCTTGATTTGGATGGCAAATATGCGGATATCATGGAATTGTGTTTCTACAACGCGGTCTCTACTGGTATGTCAGAAGATGGAAGAAAATTCACATATGTAAATCAACTTGCATCGAGCGATACAGATTTATCCCGACGAGCAGAGTGGTTTACATGCGCTTGCTGTCCACCTAATGTTGCCAGACTTCTTGGATATATTGGAGGTTATCTCTGTAAGCAATTTCATTGTTCTGGCAAGGTTACCAAGCTAATAGTGAATTAGGGACTTCCTCTAGTGACGAAAAAAACAATACCGTAGAAGTAAATGTCCACACGTATACTTCCGCAGTATTGAATATTCCGGTAGGGACTCACGCGGTGCAGGTTGAACAAAAGACACATTGGCCATGGGATGGGAAAATTCAATTCGAGCTTAAGAGCCCTGAAGCAATATCAACAACAATCAGATTAAGAATACCGGGTTGGGCGGAAGAATGGACTGTAGGAGATTTTCCATATTGCAAAGGAGTGAGCTAATCATATTAGATATCTCCCGAATTCGAACGATATGGCTCAAAAGTAACGAAAGGGTACTTAACCCTCTCCCCGGAATATTTGAAAACGAACCTGTCTTTCCAACTCAACATCACTCTGAAACCGCGATTTATATCACCACATCCCTACACAAACCAAAACATCGTAGCGCTAGCTCGTGGTCCTATAATCTACTGCGTGGAGGATTTCGATAACCCATGGGTAGAAGATCACTTCAAGGCAAGAAAATCCTCTAAATCATTCTCTATGAATCCCATGCTGACCAGCATTCAGAGTCTCGTTCTAGATACAGAGAGTGATATAACAGAAATCGAAGTTGACTCTGCTGAACCATATAAGGAGTTGACGGTCCGCGATGGTGCTACACTGCTTCAAGTCCCAGAATCGTCAGGACCATATTTAGCCCACAACGAGGAAAATTTTGCCAAGGTTGATATTCAAAGGCTTCACTTTATTCCATATGCTCTTCGAGATAACAGAGGAGGAAAAGGACATATGAGGGTGGGCTTGCGGCGGAAAACTACACGGGTGTAAATAATGGTCAGACTTTTGATACCAAATACATATTATATAGCTCTTGTAAGACACGAATCTCAATGGAGAATACCAATATATAATTCACCAAAAGAAACATCTTCCACCTCTCACTATTCCCAATCTAGAAATCTCTATTCACTTGAAATCTCATTGGTCAGTATCCATCATTCACTCTACATAACAGGAAACTACGCTAAGACAGTCTTAGCGCCTTTGTATACGTAGGTTCCTATATATACAGCCTCAGTTTCAATTTTGCAGCGCAAATTTCTAAACCTTTATGCGATATTCCACCCGAGTTTCGTTTCCCGCTACTCGTACCCACTCGGGGCGAACGATTTTCTTCTCGTTTAAATCGGTACCAGCCCGGCCGACCCCAACCTCCACCCCTACTACTATAACTCGGACAGCAGCGGGTCTTACGAATACAACATGAACTAATTATCTAAGAAGAAAAATCCTCGGGTACAAACTGCTCCCGAAATGTCAACTACAAACGTAGCAATGCCTAGGAGTTCCCTGGAACCTCGCACTTACACCGAAAAAGAGGTGCAGGGCTTCGTAGGCAATGTGTTAGACATGGCAGTACAGCTTCTAGAAGGGAAGAGGAAGAGAGAGGGGCCGAGAGAGGTTTCTGAAAACAACTCGGGAAGCGGGGCAGAAAGTGATAGTCTTCAGAGTGGCCCGGCCTCGGCCTGCGAAAAGAGAGCACTCGATACCGACCAAAATATAATTTGCAACACCCCAGCCATTACCGCGGAACCTCGGCCAACGATCAACCGAAGTCTTCCTTCTAATAATGTATCCCAAAAGAAGAGAGGCAGCCGCCAAAATACGCGGGTTAAGTCACAAGACTTGTATGTGGCTCGAAGACTGCAACGAGATACTCCATTAGCGTCTTGGATGGAGCACAATAACATCGTACATGGTAAAGTTCGAGATTGGCACACTAGGCCCATTCTCTTCAACCCACGTGTTCCGTCTCCACGAGATAACAAACTCCCAACCCGTCGGTTCTATGGGGATCTTGCATGTGCTGTAATGAGTACCGAGTACATATCCGCTAAGATAATGCACCATCTCAAGGCTCCCGCTGACTACGACTCGCACGGGAAATTGCTCTCTACGCGAGTTTCCGTTGGCTTACCGGCGATGAACGCGGCCGGTCAAATACTCTTGGTTGACGGAAAACCAATGCTTGGCTTCCTAAGAGATATAGCTGAGCAGTTCCCTCGTTACGATCAGATCGAAGCTACAGCAAAGGCTGCCGTCTGTGGAAAAGATGCCGCTTGGTACGAACAAAAATTCCGGGCTACAAATGCTAGACACTTGTCGCGCTCCAGCACTGGCAATCAAAATGGACCCGGAGCCGGCCAACTAACCCGTGGTTTCTCTCTCAACCCTGGCCCAGGACGCGAACCACATACTGAACCAGTCAATGTGTTTTCTTTCCCTTCTCCAAGAAACGCTGTACCTACCAAATCAATCTGTGATTTCTCTTCCGCTTTACCTCATGCTCCTAGAAGTCAGACACTCCCCCAACCAGCTTCTGTCCACGGTCCCACGATGCGACAAAGTATACCAAAATTGCCCGTCTCAGAAGACGCTTCAAGAATTCGGTCTAGCGACGTCGAAGCCGAAAACCTGGTCCGAGAAGGTGAAACAATTCTGGCCCAAATAAAAAGATCTCTAGCTCTTCGCGAAGCCAAGGAAAAGCGCGCTGGAAATCTGTCTTCGCTCTAGAATTAGCTACTAGCTAAACTCGCGCTGGAGCAGCACAAAGATAGATCTCTCGGAGAGATTCAAAAAGTTAATTGATGGTGAAAGCGAGGAAAGGCAAAACGGGAGGTAAACAGTTGCCCAAGGTTCTATGGCGTGTGAATTAGCAAAGCGAGGCCTTTTTTGTGATTTTCTTTTTCAAGCAGTCTGGTGATGGAGGAAATCAAGCAAAGTTGACCTGACAAATGAGTTTATGCATGGAATGGATCGTGGATATACGGGAATCTGGGACGTTCAGACGTTGGGCATCTAAGCAAAGTTGTCATTTGGGGGGTTTTGCGGGTATATCCTTTGAGTTTTTTATGAACATAGGTATCTGAAAATAATGATAATCGCGCAGCTTTAGCAACTCAGAAATGCACCAAAAACCTTATAACAAATGATATATACCAGAACTCGTTAGATTGAACCACGGACTCCCTTAACATTATTTTCCACCTTATACGAGCAGACGAGTTTACGAACCTGCTATACTGGAAGGGACGACCTGTACCTAGTAGTTATGATTAAACACATACTCTAAACGATTTAACATTTCAGATGAACTCAATGTATTAAGTGAAGTCAATGCCTCAAAAAATAATATCTTTTGAGATGATATGACTTCTTTGAAGCAAAGCACTCTCTCAGATAATAGATCCTCGAAGTGTTCTGACTGCTTTAGATAATCGAATATCTATGAATCAGTGATTGACTGACAGTCCTCACTTGTTCCGAATGAATTGAGTGATAACTGTTCAATGAATCATAATAGACAACTTTGTGAAGCGACATCTGAAATCCCTACATACACGTGTATACTCGAAGATCTGTAAATATCGTGCTCATGCTCAGTTAAATTTCAGCAGCTGCTACTTGAACTTTCTCCCCCCCGAGTGACAGGGTTACACCAAAACACGTGAATGAAAAACGCGAACTTGAGGCGTTTGAGCGGCTCCAATGCATACCCCAGAATTAAAGATTTGTTAGAATGAGGGGCAACAAGTGGCCAAGCCAATAACATCAGTCCATTTGTACCACACAAATGTTACACTAGCTGGTCCGTCATGACCATAAAAAAAACTGCATCTTCAGAATTTTCTGACGTCGAGCAATATGTTCAACCACCAATGCTAGATTGGATCGAATTGCAGTAACAGCAGCAGCAATGGTAACAATGACAACAGCAACAGCAATAGCAACAGCATGTACAAAAATGTCAAAACTGTGAGATTGTCACATGGAATCAGCACATCCAAAAACCTAGCCTCGGATGTATCATTGTACACTTTGTATTCCATACCGTATTTTCCAAACTCCAAATTTTGTTTCGGACTAGCAAGCTCAATTTGGGCAAATCCGACTTTTCGTGCATTTTGTTGAGAGCAAACTGATGAATTTGGCCCCGCTTTTCCCTCCCATTTTGATATCTGCGGAGTAGCGGACGGAAGGCAAAAAAAGAGACGCGAGAGGCAAAAAAAAGAGACAAAAAGGCAAAAAACAAGAATTGGATGAAACTTCTTTTCGCCACTATGTGGAAGAATTCATCAGGTGATAAAGCTTCTTAGTCATGCAATTGACTTTTGGTGTGTGTACCTGTTGGCTTGCGTTAAAGCTACCTAATAGGTACAGTATACATACACGTACGTACGGTACATATGTAGACTCTACCCTGCATTCATAAGGCTCGCTGCGAGATTGACCAGTGAAGATGCATCTTGATAGAAACTGGTGAATCGTGTATCGTGTATCGTGTATCCTGTATCCTGTATCGTGTATCTTGTATCGTGTATCGTGTCAACGGTTCAGCCGCATTAACCAATGCCACAGTGCAGAATTTGTCGGGATACGGAGCAAAAGGCGGTAGATGCGATGCGCAATCAAATCCAATGTGCGCACTGAACATTCATGGATGCACCAAATAAGGCTGAAAAAGACCTAACCCACTCAGCTCAACTCAACTAATCGACTAATCAGCTAATCAGCTAATCAGCTAATCGGCTGATCCATCCTAGAAGCTTTTGGTTCGAGGATTACAGCTTCGTTTGTGGCTCCTTCCTTGTGTGGTGAATTGGAAGCTGTGGTCGTCCAAAAATTGTTGGGATTTTTTTTTTAACGTGAAGCGAGGCTATCAAACTATGGTCTATCAAATGAAGAAGAAACCAAGAGAAAATGGATGAATTTACCTAGTAAAACCTTCAATATTACAAACTTCACTCAATCATTTCATTTAATTTCTTAAAAAGGACGGGAATCAAGAAAAAGAACCGAGGTCCGGATTTAGAAGGAAGAGGAGGGTACAGTACTATTCTTCTATTTCTTCCCTTCGAGATCTTTTTTTATTGCATGCCAAAGGAAGGTTAGGAATTTTTTATACATTACCTACCAAGTGTATCAACAATACTGCTTGAAAGAGTTTCATTATTTTCTCTCTTCTTCATATTGACTTTTGATCTCTTCAAGATTCATATCTTAAGTTTCTTTCAATTTAAGAGACCCAGTTTGATTTTTTTTTTTCCTTTTCCAATTTTGGCCCTTTCCTCATTTGATATTCGTTTTGATATCGATATCAAAAATTCTTGGAAATTCTTTTGTTGCATCCCTTCCGTCGCAAGGCAAGGCTTCACTCTTAACTTGCATCTCGAACCTTTCGTAAGGAAGATACCTATAAAATCTACTCAAAATGGCGTCCGCAACGGTCCATTTCTCTCACCCTGAACCCTCGCTATTTACATTTCCTCCAAAAGGCGACCCTCAAACTTTACCTCCTCCAATCCCAGGATCGACACTTTCTGCCCCTCCATTCGAAATCGACCCCTCCTGGTACAATGCCGCCCTCGATGTACGAGTTCCAATCACAATTGCTGCTGTATATGCCATAACGGTTACACTGGTCAATCAATATAACAGACGCGCTGGAAACAAAGCTTGGCCAATCAGCAAAACCAAGGCATTCTTCGTTTTTGTCGTGGCACACAACATTTTCTTGGCTGTATACTCTGGATGGACTTTTGTTGGCATGTTTGGAGCTTTGAGAAGGTCAATTCAAAACCCAATGGGCCCAGCTGGTCTCGCCGGCACCGTCGATAGTTTATGCAAAATCCATGGTGTTACTGGTTTGGATAATGCTATGTCTTACAATGCAAGCATGTCAGAATGGAACGCGGCATTGCCAACTGAATTCAAACTGACAAGTGCCGGAACTCCAGACTCTACCGACTTGGGAAGATTATGGAATGAGGGACTTGCATTCTATGGATGGTTTTTCTATCTTAGCAAGTTTTATGAGGTTCTTGATACTGTCATCATTTTGGCAAAGGGAAAGAGAAGTTCTACTCTACAAACTTATCATCATGCTGGAGCTATGATGTGCATGTGGGCTGGAATTCGATTCATGTCACCACCAATTTGGATGTTCGTGTTTGTCAACTCTGGCATTCACGCATTAATGGTAAGTTCCTAATCATCCCCCCCCCCAAAATGTAATTGAGACTAACATTTGGCTTTTCAGTATACCTACTATACTCTTACAGCATTCTCCGTACCCATCCCACAAGCTCTTAAGCGCAGTCTCACAACAATGCAAATCATTCAATTCCTCGTTGGAGCTACATACGCTACCATCCACTCCTTCATCTCCTACACAGTCACCGTCCAAGTTCCATCCATCCCAGCTACCATCTCCTCAGTTACTTCCTCGGCATCCGTTGTCGCTACCTCCGCCGCTGCAATCGCAACCTCAAGCGGAGTCGCCGACCTGATCAAGAAACTTCTTTACCGCGCAGTTGGCGAAGAAGGTCTCGCCGAGAATGTCAACGCTCCAGCCGTCTCAGACGTCGCTCAAGCACCAATTGCTTCTATTCCTAAATCGCACTCTAAAATCCCAACATACGTTACCGAAACTCGTACAATCCCTTGTATTGATACCAGCGGTCAAACTTTCGCTATCTGGCTCAATGTCATCTATCTTACCCCATTGACCTTCCTTTTCGTAAGATTCTTCATTAAATCTTACATCAGAAGAACAACCGCAAGTGGAAAGAAAGCAGGTAGAAAAGCGAGTTTTGTAGCCGCGGAAAAGGCAGGATTTGATGCGTTGAAGGGTGTTGAGAGGGAGATGACCAGAGGCGAAAGTAAGCTATCCAATGGCTTTGAGAAGAATTAAATGGGGACAGCAGATAGTTGAAAGGATTCAACTTGATGTGGGTAGTGAGAGGAACCCTACTTGATAATAGGGCCTGGGTGTATGGGAAAATCCCCCAAGCACAAGGACAAAAAAAAAAGGAGATACAACAACGAACAGATAAACAAACAACATAAACAGAAAACCTTCAAGCAAGGGAACGGATACACAAAAGGACACTAGGGTGCAGGATGAACGGTATGGTGGGAGGCAATGAGCTCGAGAAAGAAGCACGCGTTACTAAATCGTTCGGCTCGGAAGAAGAGAGTATGTACTGTGGTGGGTTGGGTGCGGTTTTAGTCTTTTTAAGCGTGTGATGCGTCCATGCATGCGTGCGGTGTGTTTTGTGCTACGATGCTACAATGCTATCCGTGCATGCTAATTCTCAATCAATATGTACCTATGTATGATAGAATCCAATGATACCATTATAAATTGATTGTTGATTGTTGATTTTTGTCTTTCGTCGCGATTGTGTATGTAGTGTATAGCATGTGTGTAGTGTGTAGCATGTACGTAGTGTGTGGTACTATGTGCGAAATTCGAATTCGTCCAACGCGAAACTAACACGAGAGAAGGGAATGAATGAGAGAGCGTCTTGGGCGCTGCGATACCGGTAGATTACCAAGATTAGGGAGCTCGCTTATAAGGTCAGTACATAGGTACCTACCCAAGTGCCTAAGTACGGTAGTTACTCGTTTGAGGTGGTTCCATCACAATTGATTTTCTTTCTTCGGGTATCGAGGGATGTGTCGTTACATTAGATTGTATGTTATTTATACTTAGTCCTCTCTATCTTGTC